CTTGAACAGTGACATACATCTAAGGATATGTGTAGTATATTGATTGTTTTATTTTCGAGTTATGGTATTTTTGATCTTGCAAAAGAATTGGGTGTGAAATTTTTGGATAAATTGAATAAAGTTGTAGATTATCGTTCAACAGTACGTGTTTTAGAGTTAATTTGAAGTGCAGTAATTATTGCTATATGAATTTATTTTAAAAAAAACAATTTGCATAAAGATAATATAATGGAATCCAGTAGTAAAAAAATAAATACTATTTTGAAAATATGGTTTCTTTATTATCAATGGACATCAGTTTTTAAAATACATCGTGTTGGGATTTGTGTAGGTAATTATCAATTACAAAAAGATGCTTTAGCCTGCTTTTGTGATTTATTTACATTAGCAGGTAAATCAAACTACTCTGTTTCAGTAAGTCATTTTCTTGGATTACTTGCTCAATTTCTGAAACTGAAAAAAAAACTTCAATTCGTAGCATCTGTTAAAATGGACAATGATGAAAAATGAAAAGGTCACTATTTTGCATATGATGAAACCTTAAAGACATTGGGTATAAAGTTTATAAAGCAAAATATAACGGGAAATGTTTTAGATATTAATAATTTAAAATTACAAATAAAAGCTGCACAAAGTGAAAGAGACAGAGTGGGTTTTTTATTGTCAGAATATCTTGATGATCCTTGCGGATTAAATGGAGAAAGGGTTGTTAATCAATGAAAAGAAGCAATGTAGAATTTGGTAAATAAACTTTTAATAGCATTCAATAATTCAGATAATAATAATATATATCAAAACTCATTGTGGGATATTACATCATCAACAAATTTTACTCCCGATGGATTACTTCACCTTAAAAATTGCTTTTCTGATGGTATTTTACAAATTGAGAAAATCTTTTTACAAGATGTGGTTTCTGTAGAAAAAAAAAAGTGACAAAGTTGAAAGGAGAAAATTGGGTATTACATGATGGAAACCAGGTAATTCAAATTCCAAAAATAAAAAAAAATAAAAAATCAAGAATTAGTGATGCCTATTTCACAAGAATCAATGATGCCAACTTCACAAGAATTAATGATACCAACTCCACAAGATAGTTTTGAAGAGATATCAAATCACAAAAAAAATACCGAGTTACAAAACTATCTGAACAACAATTATTAAAATCACTAATTAATTCAACAAACCCTCTCACAGATGAACAAATAAATAAAGTTATTGAAGATTTAGGCTCAGAATGGAATCGAGTACAAGTTAATCAATATATATCTTGTTATCGAAAAAATAAATAAATATAAAAATATAAAGCACTTTTTTTTATAAATGTATATATTTGAAAGTTTTTATTAACATAAATACTTAAATACATAATCAATAAAATTATAATTACATAACTATCTAAAAATAAATATCTTAAAATAATAAAAACTTCTTTCCTTTCGCTCACCACCTTTAATTTAGCAAAAAAATATCTAAATATAAAAAAGTTAGTGATAAGTTTCTAATAAAAAGCAATAACTTCCGTTTTTACAAAAAAATAATAATTTAACCAACTAAACGATACTATTAAAATAGAAAAAGGAGCCAATTATTTACATAGTTAGATACCTTGTTTTTGTTAAATTTTTAAATAGCACGAGAATCTGAAATTTAAACGTTAAATAGAAAGTAATATTTATGTGCCAATAAAAGGATATAAAAGTATATTGGAAAAAAATAATTTGAATTTTTAGATAGAAAAATCGATAATTTACATGTTTAATTAAAAGCAGAAGGTCAGGTAACTTAAGTTTTTGATGACTTTGATATGTGACGAAAAAATGTATTTTCAGGTCACACAAAAATTTAACTATAGCTAATCACTCTGATGGACATGTCGCCTGACTGATAATTTGACTACTACGTGTCTAAATGAAACTATGAAAAATTAAAAATTAACTTGATACATTTACATCAATAAACTATAAATGAATTGGTGAAAAAAAATAAAAGATAAAAAAATATCTTTATTTCACAAAATTCTCTTAACTACATATACTAATTAACAATTTACAAAAAAAAAGACAAAAGAAACAAAATTTTTTTTATTTTTCAGTATAAAAATCAATAAAACAATTATATTTGTATTGTAGTAGAGGTACATCACACACTACACACTAGAGCTAACTTTGATATGGCATTTTATAATCCATATTCATTTTCAATATATTTGATTTAGTTAAAATGGATATAAATGTTGACATTATCCTTGTATGAATAAAAATTTTAAATTGTCATTAGAAAAATTGTGGATATGGAATGATCGAAAAAGTAGTATACATTCAATTTTACTTAGGAAAATAGAGTGATAATTAATAAAATCAAAAGTAATTACATAAAAATGATCAAAAATAATTTTAGTAGATAAATTTGCTCACTAGATGGTTTAAGTGATAAATATAAGGAAATTTAGCAAATACTTTATTATTCTCATATTCTTAAAAAAAATATTCTTTTCGCAAAAAACAAATACTGTATTACATTCTTAAACAAAAAACATATTTTATTTATTTGTTTACAAAACAACTAAGAAGTTTGGAATTCATTTAATACTTTGAGAAATTGATTAAAACAGGAAAAATATCCATAAAGACATCTCCATTCAGAACTTATTTCTATGATATTTTTTCTTTATTTTTAAAGCTAATTACTTAAAATGATATCTCAACCACCTCCATTACCAAAAAAAAAGGTTTCCTATACACATGTATCTTAAGTAACAAACAAAAATATATTGAAAGATAGAAATAGATTCTTAAATCCAGATTCCCAAATTATAAACTCATTAACTTCAAAAAAAAAGACTTAAAACCTTACACAGGTCAAACACAAAAGAATAGGTGACAAAAATATATCTGTTGTCCGAATCCCAATAATTTGAAATTTGAAATGCTGAAATTCCATATTCATAGTATTTGAAATTTGGAATTTGAAATTTTGACAAAATTTACTAGTAATAATATAGGATTTGGAATTTGGAATTTGGAATTTGGAATTTTAGCATTTGGATTTTGAATTTGGGCAGAAGATATAGGTACAAATAGAAATTCTGATTTTAGTTGATCTATAATATAGGAAATACATTTGGTATAGTGATTTTTATATTTGACTAGTGTTACTAGAATGACCAAATAAAGAAATGGTTTCAGAAGTTGTGGTTATCCATTATGACTGACTCCGCAGATTCACATTTGATCTCATCAAATATATGTTCTCATAACATTCTACAAAATTCTGTTCTTTTCAACAAATCAAAGCTTCACTAAATATGAATCATTACAAGATATTCTTGTAATCAAATTATCTTCATCTGCTAAATACAATGAAGGAGAGACTATATATTGAAGAGAACAAAAACAAAAGAAAACAAAAATAATAAAATATGAAGCAAAAAAAAAATAAAAAATTGAAACAACTGTAAATAAAACATTATCAACTAAAACATATTCAAATTATTTTCAGAAAAAGATTTTAAAGAGATGATTTTGATTGATGTGATTTCTTATAATACTGTTATTAGATGGAACAAAAATCATCATTTTTGTAACAGTTCTAAACACTTTAAATGAATAAAACTTCAAACACCAATGAAAAAAATTATATATAATGTAAAGAATAAAAAGATCTTAATGACAAAGACAAAAAATTACAAAGATCGTGTATATGGAAGAATGTAAATTTCTTTGAACAGTTGTATAGCTAGAATTATATCTTAAAGGTTAAAATAATAAAGTACCTATAGATGTAATTGATAAAAGTATTGATAAAGCTTTAATTATACATTTTTCCAAAATTGATTTCTGATTTTTGAGATATTTTGTTTTTTGAGATTTTTGAAATATCTATTCTATATATAGAAATAAAAAAAATATCTAGTTTAATTTATTTTCAATTAAAGAATTATCTAGGTGGTTAAAAATTTTCTGGTTTTAAGTAAAATAATTTTGTCTTCTATGAAAAACTGTTTTGAATTTTGGGTTCCAAAATATTTTGACTTACTATGATAGGCTATTTGCACACAAGTATAGCTTTGATAGCTAAAAGAAATTTCATACAAAAGAAAGATTTAAAACAGCCCATGGCTGTTTGTGCACAAAATTTTTCAAAAATAAAAACAGAATCATTTTAATATTACACATCTTCATTATTCTTTAACTTTATCATCAAAACAATATAAATCCAACAAATTATAAGTAAAACTTTGAATGAGTTAACTCATTAACTCACATATCACAGGTCAAACACTAAAGAATAGGTGGCACAAATAGGAATTCCGAATTTAGCTAATTTATAATATAGGATAAAATAGGACAGTTGATTTTAGCTGGTCTATGATATAGGAATTTCAATTTTAGCTAATTTATAATATAGGAATTACCATCCAGTACAGCAATTAACTAGTGTATAACTTGCATACTATTAAAAAACATAATGGATTGTAACTAAGGTTTCCTGTTGAAACTTGTAGATTTTGCCAATCAGCAATAGCAAAAACAGTTAACACAAAAGATAACATGGAAAACAGTTAGAAAGATGCTTTGTTGTCTCATTGCAAGTTGTGACAATGTTTGATTTCAAAAGCAGAAGAGAAAGAAAACCATGTGATAATTCAAAATGAAGCTTACACATGTAGTTGGTATCGGAACATTGAAGAATCAGAAACATACAAATACAAGAATTGCAATATAAAAATAGAAAGGGCACCCAGGATATTCCTTCTGATCTTGTTATAAGACGATCGCGGGAAATACTGTAATTTGCCACATAAAAGATCTGGGCCTTGATTTCTTCTGGTGACTATTTGAATAGCTAAATTGACATAGTAAAGAAATTGTAGTTTTACTTAATTCACAATTGATTTTTTTAATAAAAGAGAAAAATTTTTTTAGCAATCTTTCGTGAAACAATACACTTGGGAGATCATTTGTTTTTGGAATTTTAGCCGAAAGTATTACAATTTTTTATTTCGGCGGCGAAGTGACTTTAATAAAAATTAATTTCTTGAAATGCTTTTTTTACACATGAAAAAAAATGAAATGAAATAATAATACACTAATTATAATAAATTAATAAATTAAATTATACAGAAAGTAATGCCGCAGCTTGAATCCATAATAAACTAGGATCTCTTATACTCTTTTCATCATAAAATAATCTTCGATCAGCTGTACGGTAACTAAATTCTAATACTTGTAAATTGTTCTTGAAGCTATAAATTTCGAAAATAGGGAAATTAAAAAATGCATCAACCTCAAATGGTTTAGGACTTCTTTCATCAGATATTAATCCAATTTGATGTAATGAAGATAATAATTGTAAATTATTAAAACTTTGTCCACCAGGAAATGAAGAAAATGATAAAGGGGCATTTTCATATCCACCAATGGCTACAGTTAGAACACCATTTAATTCTGATAAATGTTGACTTATCATGGCACATGCGGATCCACAAATACCATTTGTCAATATTATCATGTCTTTAGCTGTCCAAGGTAATTTATTATTAACATTATCACGACTATTAAAAACTTCTTGAAAAAGAATAGAATTTTTAACGTAAGAAAATTGATTCGTGTAACGTGATTTGGTGTAACCACGGTTGTATACATTATTACCAATGAAACTTGAAGAATTAGTAAAGACTTCATTTCCTCCATCTTCCGAAGTGGAAAAAGATTTATATTGTGATGAATAAAATATTGAATTGGTTAAATTTTTGTCAGTAGCAGTTTTAATAGTAAGTTTAGAAAAATCGGTAATTTTTGCATCACTGGGAAAAGAGGGATTTGTAGTAGGGAATAAAAGAATGTTTATAAATTCGGCAATTGAAATCGAACCACCGATATTATTTGATAAATCGAGAACAAGCTAAAATTTGTAATTAATTAATTAGATTAATTAATAATTAATGATTAATAATTTTTTAACAATATTCTTTAATATTTCTAATATTTTAATATCTTTAACATTTACCTTCTTTGCACCATTACTCGCTAACTTTTCAAATCCTGTCATTAAATTATTCATTAAAATCGTTGGATCATTATTTCCTACTACAAAAGTAGAAAGTACAGCTATTCCAATATCATTTGATAAATAAAATCTGGCAAAGTTTGCATCATGAATTAAGTTTCCTGTTGATAATGAATTATCAAACGTTTCTCCAGGATTAAAATCATTAAAAACATCTGGTATTCTAATTGATGTGGTAGCAGCACAAAAATTATTCCAATAAGAATTCGAATCCTTGAATTGTTCATAAAAAGATGAATTAATCTTCCAATTTCGATTAATTATTTTAATCCCAATTCCACATTTTAAAAGATAACTATGAGAAGATTTTGAAGGTAGACGACGTGATTTGGTGAATTGTTGAGTATATTGAGAAATACGGAACTTTCCGTTATCGAGACCTATGGACCCAAGTATGGAATTAAATCTTACTCCAAGATCTCTGGAGATGAAAGTTTGACTATTGGCAAATCTTGTTAGAACGGACATAGCAGGTTGACCATCAATTAAGATTACTTCACAATCTTTCAATGATGAATCTATCTCGTCATTTAATATTTTTATAATCTATTTATGTTATATATATATATATTAATTATTAGTAAAAATTATTATAATAAATAAAAAAAAGTAATAAATAAAAGAAATAAAGAATATTTACTTGTGATCCATTACTTTCTATTGTAGAATAAAGTGTTAACTGTTGATCAAAAGTAAATATTTGATTATAACAATTAGAAATTAAAAACAGATGACCATCCTTGAGTTTCATAAGTGTCGAAGTTATATCGTCCTATAAATATTAAATTAAATTATCGATTAAATTATCGATTAAATTATCGATTAAATTATTCGATTAATTATTAAACTTATTAAATTATTATTTACCATAAATTCAAAGTCGGAATAATAAGGATTTAAAAGTAATAAATCAAGTTCTCTAATAATATCAGTTGATTCAAAAGTGAATCCACCTTGAGGTGATTCTTTTGCTTGATCCAAAAATGGGTAGAAATTTTCCAGTGTTTTTTTGATACTATCGATTATCTATATAATAAATAAAAAAACATATAAATTTTTATTTCGTTCTAATCTCTTTCGCTTAGTAATCAAAATCGCTTGTCTACTTTACCCTTTGAGCTCTATTTGCATCATAATTAAAACCTTTAAAACATTCTCGAACAATATCAAATTCAGGATTATAATTATCTTTATCTTTTAAATAATTTTGATGAATGATGGCACATGAATCTTCTCCTTTTTTTATCTTTTTAAATTTATTTTTAAAATTATCAATATCTCGTTTTTTATGTAATTCATGATAATTGTCATTTTTCCAAAAGAAATGAATTAGTTTTAATGATAATATTAAAGAAAAGAAAAGAAGTCCTAAAACTTTTGATTTCATTATTATTATTATTATTCTATATATATATATTTTTTTTGTTTCCGAAGCGATTAATAACGCTTAATGATATAAAATGAATGATTGTAATAATTTAATAATATTTAATAATAATTTCCAATAAATATTTAATAAATAAACAACTATTTTCCTATCAAAGAAAAATCAAAAGTAGTTTATCCATTAATTTTTTGGAGTATTGGAGTTTTTGGAATGTTGGAAATTTACGAACTTTTTTTTTTTATTGAAATATTTAATTAAACAATATGGATTTATATATTTTTTATTTCTTTTGTTTCCTTATATGTCAATTTATTTTATATAAAAATATATTAACAAAGTTATCGAATGAGATTTTATACTTTTATTCGTACAAATTGAATTAGGTTATATGTATTTATAATGATATAGATTTTTTTAATTAATTAATTCATTCGAATAAATAAAGAAAACAACAAAAAAAGATATGTTACAACAGAAAAAAGAAAATTAATCAATAGAATATTTTTTTTTGTTTCGAATTACTTTCTTTGTAACTCTGTTGAACTACATTATATGCATTACACACATATACTATAATGTGTAATATTACACTCTATATGCGTATGTTTTTTTTATATTCTAAGTTCTAAAGTATATAATATAAATATACTAGTAAATACTTTATATCCAAAATTAGATAATTCAAGTAGTAATGATATAATAAGTAATAAATAATCTATTGCCAAACTTTGTTTTTTTATTTTTATTTTGCCGTTTCAAAATTTCCTTTTTTTTTCTTTTTAATGAAGATTGTTAGAGACAAGGGTTATTTTTTTCATTGTTATTCAGGAAAAACTATTTAATTTTGATAAATAAATGATAATTATAAATACTATTTTTTACGGCTTTAAATATTTCTTTCTTTTTATTCATGAATTTGATAGTAATAGGATAATAGGATATTGAACGTAATTAATGACTTCAATAATGACTTTAATCATGAGCTTAAATAGTATTATTGATTTTAATCATTCATGACTCAAAACTTGAAACAAAAGTCTAAACAAAATCAAAATCATGAAATTCTGAATTCATTTGAATAAAATTTATGTTTAGGTAATCGGAGAAATTATCAGACAATCTGTTTTTTCATAATGAATATAATGAATGTATATCATATTGTTTATTATTAATTCTTAATGGTTACAGAAATATATTAGTATTATCTCTAATTGCTACAGTTACACAATAATGGGTTTCTATAACCTTTTGGTTATGTTATATTAGTTGTCGAGCAGCATTGTCAAGGGAAATAAGTTGGATTTTTTTTATTGGTAAATCTATAAAAATGAACGATGAGTCAGTGCGAAATTACTAGGCCAGAGTTATGTAACGTAGGTCAAGAGGATCTTTTAACCGAAAAATCGGATTTATTTGTTTAAAAATTTATTTGCGCTTTATGTTTTTTCTATATTTTATCTTATTCTTGTATTACAACTTTAAACATTAGTTACATTTGGAATTATTTCTTATCATACACACACACACAATTCTCACACATGTTGGGTTTACGAATTTCTATTGAACATTAATATTCGCCATTGCCATATAAATCATATACGTAACGTACTATTTAAATTAAATAAATCGGAACGTAATGAATTTTAATTTTTATATTCCATATATTCCAACAACCGCGATAACAATATTATAAAAAAACGATGTTAAAGCTTTTTGACAAGTTATCTCAAGACTTTACTGCGCTCTTGGATGATCAAGAAGATTATAATGTGATCATTGAAGTTGATAAATATGAAAATAAGAAAACTTTCACGGCTCATTCGGCAGTATTACGATACCGTTCACCCTATTTTAATAAAGAATTAAATAATATTCCTCAAAATGAGAACAATATTAGAACAATTTATAAACCAGATATTTCAGCCGAGAGTTTTAATATCACGCTTAGGTATTGTAATAAATTTTAAATGTATTAAAAAAGTTACAATCAAATCATTGGTTTTAATAATGTAATTTATTTTTTGTAGATATATTTATAGCGGAATTGTAGATCTTGTATTTATCGAAACTAAATTCATTTTTGAACTAATGATCCTCTCTAGTGAACTAGAGCTTGAAGAATTATTTAATAAAGTTGAAATCCATCTCATTAAAACCGAAGCTACTTGGTTACGCACTCATTTTTCTTTAGTTTATCATGCAATCTTTAAACAAAATAATAAATTTAAGTTAATGGAAGAGTTTTGCAATGACATTATCGCAAAATATCCAAATATTATTTTTGATGCTGATGATTTCAATTCCCTTCAAGAGTCAGCTTTATTATCAATTATTAAAAGGGATGATTTACAGATGAATGAAATTAAGATTTGGGATAAAGTTATTATATGGGGAATCAGCCAAAATCCGAAATTACCTTCCAAATTTGAAGAATGGAACAATGAAGATTTCATGAAATTAAGCACAACTTTAAAAAATTTCCTACCCCACATCCGTTATTTTCAAATGTCCAGTGAAGATATTTTTAATAAAATTAAACCTTTTATGGAAAATTTTAATAAACAGCTTTTAGATGATTTGATTCAAAGTTTAATATTTCCCGATAAACCAGTCAAATCAATAATTTTACCACCAAGATTAATTTTAACTCCAAAATTACCCTTTCGAGAAAATTTTTCCACTATTATTAAAAATGAACATGTAGCTGAAATCTCTTCATGGTTTGATCGTAAAGATACAATATATTCTTTAAATAATATCCCACACGAATTTAAATTAATTTTACGAGGAAGCAAAGATGGATTTGATCCTAAAATTTTTTGGGAAAAGTGTCATGGCCACTCTAATACGGTGACAATTTTAAAAGTTGCAAATACGGATGAAATTCTTGGAGGATTTAATCCTATAGAATGGAATAAAACAAAAGAAAATTGGACTTGGGTAAAAGCGAAAGATAGTTTTATCTTTTCGTTAAAAAATGGTAACATAAAAAATTCAATTCTTAGTCGAGTGAAGAATGAAAAAAAGGCTATTCAGTATCATGACTCTGAAGGTCAAGTCAATTCTGGCATATGTTTTGGAAATTCCGAACTTGCAATGAAAACAAGAGTATCTGATTTTACTAAGGATGAAGAAAGTTGGTGTAATATGAATAAATGGTATGATAGATATTATGAAAGAAGTATTAGAACAGCAAGAAATTCATTTTCAATAATAGATTATGAAGTATTCATGGTTGTTAAAAAATCAAATTAATTAAGTTTATTAAGTTTTAAATATTGTATTGTAATTATATATATGTATTTTTATTTTTATTTTTGATGAAATCTTACTTTATATTTTATAATAAAGAATTTTATTGATAAAAAAACTAAATGCATAATCACGTGTATATTTCCATATATACAAGTTATCTCAAGATTTTACCACATTCTTAAATAATAAAGAGGATTACAATGTGATTGTTGAAGTTGAAAAAGATGAAAATAAGAGCAGTACTTCATACTATTTTAATAAAGAATTGATTTATCTTCCTCAAATGAAGAATAATATAATCAATTTCTAAACCCGATATTTTTTCGATATCTATGCAATAAATTTATATTATTTAAAATATTAAAAAAGTTGCAATGTAATAAATAATAATTCTTTTGTAGATACATTGGATTGTAAACGCCGATATAAAATTAATTTTTGAATTAATGATTCTCGCGAAATCGAAGAATTATTTAAACAATTAGAAATTCTTCTTATTAAAAACAAAGCTTCTTGATTACGTACACACTTTTCTTTAATTTATTATACAAACTTAAACAAAATAATAAATTTTAAATTATTAGAAAATTTTTGCAAATGATATTGCTGTGAAATATCCAAATATTATTTTCGATACTGAAGATTAATTCTCTGATATTAATTACAAGGGACGATTTACAGATGGAGGAAATTAAGATTTGAGATAAGGTTATTCAATGGGGAATTCACCAAGATCCAACATTACCATGCAAACTTGAAGAATGGAATACAGAAAATTTTATGATATTGAAAACTATTTTACAAAATTATTTACTTCACATTCGTTATTTTCAAATATCCAGTGAAGATATTTTTAGTATAGTAAAATAAATCCTTATATGGAAAATTTCAATAAGAAACTTTCGGATGATTTGCTTCAACATCTAATACACCAGTTCAATCCAAGATTAATTCTGCTCCAAAATTACCTTTCGAGAAAAATTTTCCACTATCATTACAAATGAACATGTAACTAAAATCTCTTCATGGATTGATCACAAACACAAAACATATCCTTCAAACAATATCCCATATGAATTTCGGTTAATAGGTAGCAGAGATGGATTTGATCCTAAAATTTTTTGGAACATGTGTCATGGCTATTCGAATACAGTAACAATTTTAAAAATTGCAAATACAAATGAAATTATTAGAGGATTTAATTCCTTAGAATGAGATAAAACAAAAGAAGAAAATACTTGGTAGAATTCTATTTTTTCATTGAAAAATGGTAATTGACAAAATTCAATTCTTGGTTGAGTGAAGAATGAAGAATATGCCATTATGTATGCTGGTCCTGACAGTCAAGTTAATCATGACATAAATTGTGAACTTGTAATGCGAAAAGAAGTCTCTAATTTTACTGAAGATAGAGAAATTTGGTATTCTTTGTGTAATTTTAGTAAACTAAAAGTTATGAAGAAGTATTATTAGAACATCAAATACTGATTTTTTATTGAATATTATGAAATATTCAGGGTTGATAAAAAATAAAAATTGTAAATTATTTTTTATTTAATAAATCTTACTTTATAATATGTGCTATATATAAAATTGGAACTTAGCTTATGACATTTATTCGTTTAGAATACCAAAAGAATTCATATTCTGAAACATTATTGTAAGAAATTATATATGTTTGTAATGTGCAATACACTTCGAATACAATTAAGTAAGTTTAATGCAATTATAAAATAACATTAATAACAATTGTAATAAATTATACCAAAATTTATATCTTTTCACCTTTCCGACTTTTATACATATACATATAATTAGTTAGTTTTGATTTATTGTAATTTTTTTTAATTAATTTGCCAAAATCATCTTAAAAAAAAATTTACCACAAAAATTCAGAATGTTTTACATTTAAAGCAAAATAACAACTTTAAATTTTAAAGAATATATTTTTAAAAAATAAAACAAGATAAAAATTTAAGATCAGCTAAAGATTTTTATCAAACTTTCTAAATATTATAGGTAATTATGATCTATCAGATGATGCTTTAAACGCTGAAAGCAACCCTCTTTTTTTTGAAAATTTTATATCGAAATATTAGCAGATTTTTTGAGATTTGTAGATCATTTGTAACTGAGAATGATGACATCATGAGAGAGAGAGAAGCGATATGAAAATATCAAGAAGGATTAATTATAGATGGCAAACTACATGAGGAATAATGGTAATTATTTTCTTTGAAAAATTATTAAAAATTTTTCTTGAAGATTATGTTAGATATAAATTGCAAAATATAATATATAATCATGATAATTTTATTTAATACAGTAAATAAATTTATTATAATTTATAACATTCAATTTATCTTTTCCTTTGGCAAATCCGATAAAACCAATATTCCTGCAGTAGTAAAATTAAGTTCTCACATTTTTCTCAAATAAGATTTTTAACCTTGTTTTATTATCATTTTCCTATTTAACACCGTATGCTTTTAATAATAGATCACATAATCTAAAATATCATTCTGGATGAACTGATGAACTGAAAGATAAGTGTAGAAAACTTTCACGGCTCACTCTGCAATATTGCAATATCGTTCATCCTGTTTCAATAAGGAAAACAATTTCTAAACCGGATATTATTTTTAGGCAGGTATGTGATAAATTATTTATATTGTTAATTTATTCAAATATATTAAAAAGTTGCAATAGTTTATATTAATATTAATTATTAAATATATTTTACTTTATGACGGAATCGTAGATCTTTGTGAATGCCAAAGTCAATTCATTTTTTGAGCTAATGATTCTAGAAAGTGAATTTGAATTAAAGAATTGTTTAAGCAATTGGAAATTCATCCACTGAAGCCAAAGCTTATTGATTACGCACACGCTTTTCTTAAGTTTTCCAAATATGATTTTTAATGCTGATGATTTTAATTCTCTTCAGCTTCGGTATCTCTTCAGCTTCGGTATCGATTATTAAAAAGAGTAATTTTAAAATGGAGAAATTAAGATCTGGGATAAAATTATTCAAAGGCGGGAATTAATCTGAATCCAAATTACCTTCCAAACTTGAAGAATGAATAATGAAGATTTCACAATATTAAAAACTACTTTACTAGATAACGAATGTGAGGTAAACAGCTTTGTAAAGATATTTTATAAGAAACTTTAAGATGATTTTATTATTGATGAACAAGTTCAATTCTCAATTCTACCACCAAGATCAATTTCTATTCCAGAATTACGATCTAGAGCACAAGAAAAATTTTCTTCAAGGTTAATTCCCTACAATATCCCTATCCCTGATGAATTTCAACTAATATTTCAAAGGATTTGATCCTAAATTTTTTTGGGACATATGTCATGGCCATGCTAATACGGTGAGAATTTTAAATCTTTGAAGGAGTTAATTCTTTAGAATGGGATAAAGCAAAAGTAATAAAACTTGGATGGAAACAAAAGATAGTTTACCTTTCATTGAAAAATGGTGACATACAAGATTTAATTATTGGCCCTGAAGATCAAGCCCATTTTTCATATATTTTAGAAATCGAATGCAATCAAGTGTATCTAATTTCATTCAAAATAAAAAGAGTTGGTGTTATAAATATTATGAAAGAAGTATTATATTAGAACAACAAGTGCTCCATTTTCGATGCGATGAAGTTTTCAGGTTGTTAAAAATCAATTTAATTAAGTTTAAATATTGTGATTACATTTTTTAAAATAAAATCTTACAAAAAAATAATTCTATTTTTAAGTTTCACTTCTAAAAGATTATTATAATTTATGATTTTTTCTATTCACAATAAACACTAAACATTAATTATTCGCGAGATGATCTCTTAGCAAATGAAAATTATGAATAATATCTTTGGGAAATTATCCTGTAAATGTTGTCACAACTCAAAAAAATCCCAAAGAGGGAAATCAATATTGGATACCCAATAATTATGTTGTTGAAACTAAAGTAACAAATAAAAAATTACATTGTGAAATTAAATATATTTCAAATAAAAAAATAAAATATACTATTTCTTGGAAAGAAAATAATGTTGAATGAAGTGTTTATAGTGAAAAATCTACAACAGGAGTGGTTCTTTTATATTTAAAAGTATTTACTGTATAAGTTAAAAATTTTATTTATATTATATATAATAATAATTAAAATATATTATTTGTTATTTAGAAAATAAATCAAACTGAAACATGATTATCAGATCCTCGTGTTTTTGGATTAGATATTGGACAATTGCATCAATATAAATCAGAAATTTCCAATGCATCTTCTAGAAAATATCCCTTATCTATAATACAATCAAAATCAGGACAAAATAAACATTTTGTAACTTTTGGTAAAGATTCAGAACAAGATCTTTTATCTTTAATTATAAAGCACAAAATGATTATAGAAACTGGACAACCAGCTATTCCTATTCGTAACATTGAATTGGATTTTAATGGTGAATTGTCAATTTGATTTATTACAAAAATTTGAGCCTGAGAAATTGGATGCTATTGTATGTGCATGTGATGAATCTTTATTGATAAGGGATGGATATTGATATTTGGCTGCAGTTTAATCTTGTTTTATTTGTGAATATTAAATTGAAGAGCATAGAAATTATATTACAAATAATATTAATAAGAAGATTAGAATAGGAACATTTAATATTAATAGCAATCAACTTAATACTGTTAACTTAGATATATCAAAACAATCTGATGAAGAAGTATAGTTGAAGAAACTGAAATTGGAAGTGGTACTTACAGATCAATTAAAACTCTTCTTGAACATTGATTCCAATTTGAAAAAATACTTTTTCACCTATTTTAAAGAAAGGAGATATTATTCTTCTTAAAATAGAGTGTGATGGGCATAATGTTGGATGTAAATTAAATTATGTAATGTTTACATTTTGTTTGTAAATAGAAAAGAAAATGTTTTAAAACCTGATAATCAATATTGATAATTATTCCATTTATTATAAATTATTATTTTTTTTATTAATATTTTTCAATTAAATAATTATTATTTAAAAAAAAAGAATTCTTAAAACAAATTAAAAATTGCATTTAGAAATATCAAAGTTCACTTTGAATTTTTTCAATCTAAATCAAGTAGAAAACAGTAGAATTGGACTTTGTTAATTGTCCAGATAAGAAGAAAATGTTGATCAAACTTTGAACGGCTGTACGAATTAAAATGTCAATAATTCTCTCAATTTTAATGATATAGGAATAATATTTCTACAGTCAATGTAAATTTTTATTGTTTACAAGTTTACATAGAACATACTGACGATTTAATTATAAAATTAAAAAGTTCTATATGTAGCTACGATAATAGTTGATTTAAAATTTTATATTACTTACCTATTGGGGCAGTATTGTACATTTTGCATGTTCACAGCTTTTTTTAGCTGTCCCTATCCTTAACTAGCCTATAAATAGATATTAAAACTTTAAATAAATATATAAATGGATTCTAAACATCTTTAATTAATAGTTCAAAGTAGGTTTTAATAATAAAATTTTATACTATTTACATTTAAAAAAAAAATTTTTGTCCTAACATTGTCCCAAGGTGTCTCTTGATAACACTTCCTGAAAGGTGTCTGATATTCAGAAAAACCAACACAGTTATCAGGTTTCCAATAGGTATCTAATTCAGACCTGAAATTTGGTTTTTTGACCTGTGAATATAGAATGTTCAAATAATGCACTAAAACATTGTGTTCTAGTATGCTATAAGTATGAAATGTTTAAATACCACACTAGAACATTGTGTTCTGTATTTAGTATGCTATAAGTACAAAATGTTCAAATAATGCACTAGAACATTGCATTCTTGTATTTAGTACTGTTCTAAAAATGTTATATGAATGGTGCTCATATAGTGTTGTAGAATGTTTTTATTTAATTCCTGATGTTTATAATTAATATATAATTGTTGAAGTGGTGTTTGAGGTAATATAAATCTATAATTTTGATTAAATAATTCATTTAATTTGAGAGGGATATTTTTATTAAACCTATATAAATTGATAAATATAATTATTTAAATAATTAATATAATAAATAATCATTATTAAATTCTATAAATTCTCCAGAATCAGTGAAAAATGTACACGTTACTGTATCACATTGAAAATTTTGTTCATTTTCATTTAATTAATAATGACCTATTAAAAGAAATTAAAATTAAATTCCATTCTTTTTAATAATTATAATTATTGCATAATACTTACCAATTAAATTTAACTGTATATGTATCCTCATTATTTACAAATAAAACATATCCAGTGGTTTTTGTGTTGAGATCTTGCTTAGAACTCTAAAATTCATAATTAAGTATTTGTTTAAGTCTTTCTTCTCTAGTCTTTCCTTGGAAATGACAAAAATATTTTTGTTGAGCTGAGCTATAACGAAAAGTTAGTTCATTTTCAAATAAATATACAAAGATAGTTTCAGAGAAAGCACTGATAGAAAGTTTTTTAGAACCTATAGAATGTCTACTAAAACCAAGTTTTTTTTTAATAAGGATTATAAATGCATCTTGGTATTGATAAACAAGTTCAAAAGATGGTAAAAAAAGAGAAGTTATATGGGTATAATTTTATTGTTGTGGTGTTTGTTTCTTTCATGCGTTAATAGTTTATTTCTGGAAGGAAAAATCTGGTGACAAAGTAAGCATTTGAGTACGTTTCTACCTTCCATCATGACGCGATCAATGATCGTTGTAATAATCATTATTATCATTTATTATATTTTGCCGATCAGCCAATCATATCACATATGATCATCAAATATCACATAAATATTTGAATGGAGCCAAATCATGATTATCCACACGAGTACAAAAATTTTATAATCTGAAATCTGAAAATATGAATCTTCCTTTACGTTTTCTATTTTCAAGCAGAGCAAGTAAAAATATTTTTAATTTTACTGTTTCTTATTTAAAACACATGAAAAAAAGAAATTTTAGTAAAAGCAGTTTCGTACGTAATGAAACTTTGGTTAGTAAATTCTATTTCTACTCTTTGCTAATGAAAAATATAAAATGTGTATAAATAAATAAATAAATATACACAATTATCCAATATATAGGAAATTTCAAAAAAAATAAAAATATTTAAAGATTCGGATGACAAAATACAGAAAAAAGATTCATCAACTTCGAGAAGGATAGATTTTGAAGAAAGAATGCGACGCGGATTACCTACAAAACGAAAAATTAGTGGAGTAAAACATGTGATTGCAGTCGCTTCTGGAAAAGGGGGAGTTGGAAAATCCACTTTAGCAGGTATTGATCATTTATTTAAAATTAAAAATTTAAATATTTTAATTTGATCTAATTTAATTAATTTAATTTAATCAATCCAATTATTCGATTCAATAATGCATCAAAAGTAAATCTCGCATTAGCAATAGCATCATTTAGACAAAGTGTGGGTATTTTAGATGCTGATATTTTTGGACCTTCAATACCTCGATTAATGAATTTAAAAGGTGAACCAAAAATACATGAAGGAGGTAAATTAATATATTTTTTTTAAAATTTAATTTTTTAAAAATTTACTGACCTTTTAATCCTGTAAATAAATAAATTTTTTTCTTTAATAGATAATTTTTTAATTCCCTTGATAAATTTTGGAATAAAAACTATGTCGATGGGATTTCTTGTTGAAGAAGATTCCCCTATAGTATGGAGAGGGCTTATGGAAAGTATTCCTAATCACTTCTAATAATTTTTAATAATTTTTAATAATTTCTATTTATTCCTATTTATCTGTTTTTTTCTTTTTCATTTCTAATCACTTCCATTTATTCCTAATCATTTTCATCATTTTTAACAATTCCTATGTATTTAAATATATTTTCTTATGAATAGGTAATGAAAGCCCTTCAGCAATTATTACATCAAGTTTATTGGGATGCAATTGATTTTCTAGTTATAGATATGCCTCCTGGTACTGGTGATACTCAATTAACTATAAGTCAACAAGTTATATTGGATGGTATTATAAAATTGGAATCTAATTAAATTTTAATCTTCTTAATCTATAGATAATTAATAAAATTATTATTATAGGTGTAGTAATAGTATCTACTCCTCAAGATATTGCACTTATTGATGCGAGAAAAGGTACAAATATGTTTAAAAAAGTTGATGTTCCTGTGAGTAAAAAAAAATCTTTTTTTTTTTTTTTATTCTAGCTATTTCAAATATTTCTATCAGCATTAATTTTTTCTTATAAATATTAGATTCTAGGAATGGTACAAAACATGTCACTTTTTGTATGTCCAAATTGTCAACATAAAACTCATATATTTGGTAAAGATGGAGTAATAAAAACTTCTCAAGAAATGGGTATAGATTATTTAGGTGACATTCCATTAGATGCAAATATATGTGAATTGTCTGATGTAGGCAAACCGATAGTTGTAACTAAACCTGATAGTTTTAATTCTGAATGTTATAAAGAAATTGCTAAAAAAGTGATGAATAAAGTTGGTTTTAAGCTTGGTTAAGTATTTCTTTATGTGTAAATATTTATGTGTAAATATAATTATTATTTTGTATATTTATTTGCATTATAGCAAATAATTTATTTAAAAATTACAAAAAATTATGCATTACTTAATTTTTCTTATTAGTATTATTTTTCCCCCCAATTTTTAACTTTGAATTGACTTAAAAAAATAGAAATCAAGAAATCAAGAATGATGAAAATTGTCCTTAATCATAAAAGTAAAAATTTTAATGATAAATATTATTAATATTCTCAATGTTATATTTTAATAAAATGTCACGTTGGAATTTTATCATAAAAAAGCTTTTATTTAAGTGTGGCATTTTTTTTTATATTTGAAAAAAATTCAATAAATCTATAATTTTATATTAGAATATTAATATATCATTTTCAAATCATTTTCCCATTCATAAATACATTGATTTTTCATTTACCACCATACACAAAAATAAGTAATAATAGAGTATTGGGAATGTACATATGAATAAATATGTTTGATAACTCATGGCAAAATCTAAAAAAATCTAAAAAAAAAAGCAAATTTATATTTATAAAAATGTTTATCAGTTAAGTTTTGTATATGCAATAAAAAATTTTAGATCATTTAATATGTAATGTTTTCAAAATATTTGAATTTAGTAGACCAGGTAAGTGTATTGGTTCCTTACCAAAGAAATGGTTGATGCAAAAAAGGAAAAGAAACTACTGGAGAATTAGTTCAGCACAATTTACAAGATAATCTCAATACCTTGAGATTGGTATAATTATCTTAAGGGGTTTTAATTTTAACCATACCTTTGTGAAATACAATACCGAAACATCTGTCATTGGTCATACTTAGAGATAACTCACTATTGTTAACAAGTAAGTGATTCCGATTTTTAGCTGATCTATAATATAGGATTTACCATTTGGTACAGTGATTCTTTTGTATTTGGCTAGTGATATAATGAGCTATATATTGCAAAAATTGGATTACAGGTTTGTGAAATCACTCAATATAACATGAAAAATTATAATGAATAAAAAAAATAGTTTGATTAATAACTTGGCATAGAAGTGTTCAATTGGAATAAATAAAGTATTATTTTGTAGCCAGAAATATGGAAATTCTAAAAATGGAAACACAATTACATAATTAATTATGGAATTATAGGTTTATATCACAATTCTATTTAAAAAATCTGCAATATTAAGGGCTTGTAAAAATAATTAAGGATACTATTTTAATTTGGGATGTCAAAAATAATTTGAGATGCCAATTTGGGCTGCTAAAAATAATTTGCACTGCCAAAAATATTTTGAGCTTTAGACTTTTTTACTTTTAAAACCCAAATAATTTGAACCTATTCTACTATTCAAATTCCAAATTATTTTTGGAGTTGGACAACTTGTATAGAATAACCCAGTTTTATCATAAATAGGCATTTGAATTTGAATAACATGTATATCTCCTGCCAAAATTAGACCATTATTTTCTAAGGCCATCTTAAAATCATAATTAACTGTTTTCATGAGAATCTCTCTTAAATTCTATTCATAACCTCAGCTTTGTAAAATGTAACGTATGAGAAAATAACATGAATAGCAAGTATAATCTGATCTGTAATTTGAGATAGATGTAAATTTTTCAGATCTGCATGCAAGTATTTTTGACAAATATTCGTGCTTCCTTAAAATCAGTTGTTATAACATTTTCCATTCTAATTCTTTTGACTATCAGAAGCATTCAGTAGATGAAATTTCTTTTTTTGAATTCTAGATCCCAAATCCAAATTACTATCAAATTACTATCACTAGTCAAATACAAAAGAATCACTGTACCAAATGGTAATTCCTATACTATAGATCAGCTAAAAATCAGTAACAATCGACCGTCCTATTGCATCCTATATTATAATCAGAATTCCTTTTTGGTACGGCATATCTTTTGTATTTGACCTGTGTATAGCCCCAAAACACAAATTAATTTACTTTATTTTTAATAATTTGGACAACATGTGTAGCTATATATAGCTGGAAGACATTTAGTTCTAACAGCATTGATCAAAATTCATGAATTCCTTTTACGGGGAAAAAATGGAAACAAAAAGGAAAAGGAAAATGAACAGCCATTGTAATAATGTGATAGGATTGCTAGGGAGTAAATTATAACATTTTTACAATTTATTATAATAAAGAATTTCCATTTGTTTATAAAATAAGTATTTTTACCTTTCAAAAGTTCTCGATTTTTATTACAGAAGAAATATAACCAATAGATATACAGTATATAGGAGATTGATCTTGATTAAGAAAAGGTAATTATAACCTATCAGATGACGCTTCAATGGAAAAATTATTTATCTAGACATGTTATAAATACTGAATGCCAAGACTTTGGACAGAGAGAAATATACTGTATGTAAAAATTTTAGACATGCGTGAAAGGAGGAACAATTTAAACCAGTTCTATTGGACGTCTGGGTGGCCACCAAGCTATGATTGAAAAATTCAGGGGTCTGTGTGTAAATTTAGTAACATTACTCTATTAGTAAATTTTGGCAACACTTATTATATTTACTATATTTATTATTTTTATTATATTTTATTATAATATTATTTATTATTTTCGCTATTACATTTCTTGCATCAAAAAAAAAAAATTTTATTGTGCCGGTTTTTTTAGTAAACGAGCGCATTTCAATGGCACTATGGCACTTCAATAGCGATGGAAAATCTTTCATTGATTTTTGTTAGAACAAAAAATTTTAGTTCTTTGGCAGTCGAACATAAAAAATATCGATTTTTGTTAGAACAAAAAAAAAATTTAATAAAAAATATTATAAATTGTTATATTGAAACATCCCTAAAAAAAAAAACTACGCCAGTTTTAGGTGGCATCAATTAATTTGTATGAGTTGAATACGTATTACATAATTGCTTATTCATGTGCATTATCATGGGGTGATTATTAGAAAGATTTCCAATAAAGCTAATACCATATTTATTCAATAATCGATGTCAAAATGATTTCATTCTTATTTTTCAAATATATTTTTAGTATTGAGTTTCATTCAATGCAAAATGGTTTCATGTCTCTTTTAGTTATTCAATAATCAAATATTGTTAGAATTTCTTCTCTACTTCAGGTAGATAAGATAAATTAAGAATATTAAAAAAAAAATAAATATTTCTTTATCAAATAACAAACAATAAATTCAGTACATTATTAAACAAGGAATATAAACAAAAAAAAGGTGTCAGGCCAGAATGGAAAATCTACCCACAGTTTTTTATAAATCTCGATATCCAAGTACCATTTTTTCCATAAAAAGCGAAGAGCTACAATATATATCGTACTATGCGTGTTGTATAATTATGATCGAAATTCTAAAAACTTTTTTTTTTCAAGGAAAAAAACAAAATACATTCAAAAGAAGAAGATGATCACTCAACCCATTCCCAACCACCACTACACACCAACGATTATGAATGAAACGAGAAATGTATACTTTTTAGAAGCATTGCACGTAGGTAGATCATCAATCGTTTTAAATTTCCCAAAATATCTTTTTTTTGTAAATAATTAATTTGACACAAAATTAAAATAATATTTAATAACTAACTATAAATAAATAAAATTAATGAACTACATGATCAACCATATAAATACTGTATTGTATATTATTATTATGTATTATATATAAATATAAAAATACATGATTAAATTTATATTAAAAAAAAATTTTATAATATATAAATAAGTTCCCCCCGAAAGTTAAAAACATTATTTTGAAAGCATTCAAAAACATTTTGAAGAAGATAATAATAATATAATACTTCATTTCTAATATATATTTTTTGTATTTTTTGTTTTGTTTCTTTGTTAACCTCCTTTGATGTCACTAATCCTTGTTAAGGGAGGATACCCAATCATTTGTTATTTATAATACAAATATAATAATATATTTATCTAACAAAAAAAATTATTTATAAATATCGAGGGGAATTGTTGTTTTTCATCATTCATTTTTTCTCATTGTCATTTCCTTATATAATTTAGATATTTTTTATTTGGAATTTTTGTTTTTTTCTTTTTTTAGATATTTGATCTTTTTCTTCAACAACACAACACAACACTACACTTTAATCATGAAGTTAATCAAATCGATTCAACTTTTCACTACGCTCATTCTTATCTTACAATTCTTTAATATAATATCCGCGGAATTTTGTTTAGACGCAGTTGATTCTATCGATTTTGAGAAAAGAGTTATCACACCATGTAGATATGTAAAGGAAGCAAAAAGATCAATTTCTAAAAGAAAAAACGACAAAAATATGTTTGAAATTTCTGGTTTCCGATGTACAAGCAATGTCTCGGATGAATGTGAAAAAGTTAAAAGTACTTTTGAAGCTGCTGGACAGATTATCTCGGATGCTTTTTACTTTAACACACCTGTATTAGTTAATGTTAGTTTCTTCAGTTTTTGCGAAGAATTGAAAGATTGTCCTAATAATACTGTTCATATTGGTATATTTTACTCATTTTTTATTTACTATTGTAACGATATAAAAAAAAATTAAATTTATTAAACCTATCTTTTCGTTTTTTTACCTTTTTTTTTAGGTGCGGCTTCCCCGAAAAGAAGTATTCTAATGGGTGACGATGATGATTTAAATAGATTTTATCCTCAAGCACTCGTGAAACAATTTAATTTAGAATCTCATCCAGAATTTTTACCATCAGATATAACAGCGAATTTTAATACTGATGTAAAATGGTACTTCGGAGGTAAAGATCCAATTAAAAAAACTGAATTGGAATTGCTTCCTGTAGTTTTACATGAATTAATGCATGGTTTAGGTTTTAGAAGGTAATTGAAATGTTTCTTCATATTTATCATTTTTATCATGAATTTCGTTTTTCGTTAAACAAATTTTATTTCATCATCAATTAGTAATTGGGGTACTTGGGTGGGAACTGAAGGAGTTATACCTTTCCCAATATTCTCAGAAGGTTCAAACCAAACTTTAATCTTTAATGGATTTATCGAATATTGTTTTGATAAATATTTGGTACTTTTAAACCCCGATTGTAAAGATTATAAACCTACCTCATTGGTTACCAAAGAATTTAATAATTTTTCTGGTGGACCAGGTTCCAAATTTAATAATACCACTGAATTCATAATAGAATTTAAAAATTCAACCCAATTTAATTATTACGGTAAAAAAATGTTAAACATAACAACGAAACCTAAAGATTACGGATTTCAAATCTATGCTGAGGATGCATTAATTTTAGAAACTAGTTATGATCCTTTTTCTCAAGGAGTTAGTATAGTTCATGTAGATCAATCCACATATCAAAATTCTAGTGACTTTTTAATGAAAGCAAGTTTTCGTTTTGGGGAAACTATGGAACAAATTATAAAAGATTTTGGAGATTCTAAATACGGACCAATTGGACCAAAATTGAGAAAGGTTATGGAAACTTTAGGTAACTTTTATTATTACTTTATTACTATATTATTGCTTTTTATTATTATTATTCTTCTTCTTCTTATTAATAATATTTTAATTCTTTTTTTTTTTTTTTAAAAAAAAAAAAAATAAAAATAGGTTATGAATCAAAAAATAATCCTAACCCATATCGACCTTCCGAACCTAAATCTTTAGGATTCCCATTAACAACTGTCAGTGACGTATCATAATTTCTTTAAAATGTACAGCCAAACAGACCATATTATAATTTTATTATTGTATTTGCATGTTTAATGTTCATACATATTATTTTTACCCTTCTTCATTTTTTAATAATTCATTTAATTCATTTGATTCATTTTTTTTTTATTGGTTCCATTTTCATTTGTTTATTTTGAGGGTGGTATAGGGAGTTAGAGAATCGGGAAAAGGAAAAGAATGGAAAAATGAAAAAATAGGAAAATAATAATAATAATAAAGTGGGGGAAGTTAAAAATAAATCTGTATTCTATTGATTAGGATTTATTTATAGAATTTAATACATAATACATATTATTGGTATTACTCATTCTCCATTCATTCATTATTTTTTTTTTTTTGCATATATCAGATATTTACATATATCGGATATCAACATATAAAATCATATAAAATCATATAAAAATATATAAAAATGTAATAATAAATAAAATATGTGTATAAATAATAAGTATTTTTTTGATCTTTTTCTTCTTTTTTATGTGGACAATATTAAATAATATAACAATATATATTTAAAATGTATGTATGATGTAATAAAGTTATGCATTGTTTCTTTATTCTCGTGATCACATTTATGTATAAAGTTTTTTCACTTCCAAAATAGTTTCATCAATATAATTAAAATGATGTGATTATAATAAATGATCGACTGGTTTGACAATAATAAATAATAAATAATAACATTAAACAATAAGGAAAAATGCATTTTCTCTCCTTGGAGTTTTACATTAATAAAATTGAATTCGTGATATTTGTGTGATTTGTTAAACAATAAATTTGGGCTTTTAAAAATTCTTTATTACGCATTAATAATTTTTTTATTCGTGACACGTTTCAAAAACAACAATTTTCCGTTTTGGAGTAGACTTTTATATTCCTTTTCTAGAAAAATCTTCACAGGTAAAATGTCTTCGTTGAATATATATATTTTTTGTTAAAAAATATATTAATTACATTCTCTGACAAAGATTTATTCAAACTATGTATGTGATGTATATTATTTTTTTATTTTATTTTATTGCTATTTTTTTAAAAAATATTGCGAAGATTTTTCTGTTATTAAAGTAAAAAAAAAAAAAAATAAATAAATAAATCAAGTCTATTTCTTATAACTTTAATAACATTTTCAATTATTAACTCGAAAAAATAAAAAAAAAATAAAAAATTTTGTATAAATTTGTTATCATGAAAAATTACCAATTTTGGTCCCCTGGAATTATAAATACAATATAGCGTCCCCTGTTATATATATTTTGATAAACATGATAAACATACACACATTAACGCTTGATACATAATACAAATGTATCTTAAATAATATTGGGGTACACACAATTTTTTTCCTTCACCCACCAGTAAAGGTAACATTTTGTTATTTTTATTTTTATTTATTATTATTATTTTTGTTCTCTTTTTTTTTAAAAAAAACATAGATATATACGTGTGTATCAATAAATATACATATATTTAAACTGAAAGAAAAATAATATAAAAATTTTATCTTATTTTTATTAGTTATTATCATTATAACATTGACATTATTGATATTGATATTTATATTGATATTGATTGAAAAAGAAAAAAAGTAAAAAATAAAAAAGTAAAATTCAAAAAATTCCTTATAAAAATAAAACAAAAATAAAAATAAAATGCCGCAAACTTCAAGTGGGAAAGTTTATTATGAGGCAGACCGAATAATAGATGAAAAGTTAATTGGAGAAGATTGGTATTATTACATAAAATGGAAAGGAATAGATGAAAATGGAAAACCTTGGAGTCCAACTTGGGTATTTATTAAATTTATTTTAAATTTATTTTAAATTAATTTATTATCATTAAATTTATTAATTTTCTAGAATAATTTCATGGAATAATTTTTCTAGAATAATTTCATGGATAATTTTTCTAGAAGCTAGATATTTAATTTTTTTAATTTATTTAATTATAATTTATTCATTATTTAAATAATTTAATATAATAAAATTTTTATAAAAAATTATTTAATTCAATTCATTTAACTTATTTTTAATTATGATAAAAATTTGTTATTATTAAATAGGAGCCAGCAAGTTATTGCACATCACCACTTATTGCTTCATGGGAACAACAAAAAAGATCAGCTAAAAGGAAAATAAGAACACCTAATGATTCTTTATCAACTTCACCAAAACCTTCTTCTTCTTCATTACCAAAGAGCGAATCCAAAAAGAATAACAATCACAATAATAATGTTAGATCATCAACTTCAGGATTTATGAATAATAATATGAATAATAAAGGCAACAATAATAATAGTAATAAAGTTGGTCATAATAATCATTATTCTCCAACAATTGTCGGAAATAGTAATAGTAATGCAACAAATGTTCCTATAGTAATTGAACCTTTAGATGAAATTCATAATTTACCATCTGTTTCTTCAAATATTTTACCTATTTCAAATAATTCTTTAAATATTTCAACTATTTCTTCATCAAATATTTCATCTATTTCAACTACTACTTCTAATTTAAATCTTCCTATGGTTATCGAAAATAACCATAATCATAATCTTCATCATCATCTACCAAAGAGCACTTCTTATTCTAAACATAATATTTCATCATCATCTACTAAAAATATCAAATCTTTAACACATGATGATAATTCTATTATCACAACTAGTGTTCCATTACCATTATCATTATCCTCTTCTTCTTCAAAAAATAAGACAAATATACAACAACAACAGCAGACATCACCGATGATGGAAGATTCTTTTCCTTCTTCAAGAAAGTTACAACTACAACAAAGAGATTATCAACAGCAGAAAAGAGATAATCAACAACAACAACAGCAAAAAGATTATCAACAACTACAACAATGGGATTATCTTCAACAGCAAAAAGATTATCAACAACAACAAAGAGAGTGTCAACAACAACAACAACAACAACAACATAGATATTCTTTACGATCTCGAACAATTATGATTCCTACACCATTATCATCATTGCAACAAAAGACATATCGTAAAATTTCTAGTAATCCTAAATTACATAATGCTTTGGCCGAAGCTAATGAATTATCACCATTACCTCAAAATTCTCCTATCCTTTTAGCAACAGATCAATTACTAATGGTCGTGAATCATTTATCCTTATTAACTCTCCCTTTTTCGTCTTCTTCTCCTCTTTCTGTTATTGATAAGAATAATATTAATATTAATAATAATAATTATTATAATAATAACAACAACAACAATAACAACATTAATAATAAAAATAATAATAAAGCTAAAAATTGGATATTTGATATCACTCAAACAGGAAAACTTGTGGTATTGAGGCGATTATTAAAGGGTTTATCACATACAAATTTAAAGATAGGAATTGCACTTCCTCAAGGGAAAATGATGGTAAGTAGAAAAAAATTTCTTTATTTATTTCTCGGATTTTTATTTTTATCTCTGATCTAATCTAAATTTAAACATTATTTTGTTAGGAAATTTTTAAAGATTTTTTAGATTCAAATGGTCATAATTATACGGTAATTCATGAATCAAAATCAATAAATTATGGCAAGATTTTAATTGATGATGATAAAAATTGTGAACGAATGACTTTAGTATTATTTTCAACTGGTATATCAAATGAGAATGAAGATTTAGTAAGTATTAATAATCACAATTATAGCATTTATATTTGTAATTATATTTGTAATTATATTTTTAATCATATATTTTTAATTATAATTGTAATTATGATGATGATTAGATTACTAACTTAATTATTTCCTTTATTTTCTTCTTTATTTTCTTCTTTATTTTATAAAAAGCCAATTCTTGATCTTGTCATTGCATTTGATGCAAGTTTTATACCTCAAATACATTTATGGAAATCAAGATCTAACATAAACATTCCAATAATTAGACTTGTATCAAAGGACACTATTGAACATGCTCTTGTTTATCATATGATTATTCATGATGATAATAATTGCAATAACAACAATAACAATAATAATAATAGTATTAATAATATTAATAATAATAGTAGAAAACAAACATTTTCAGAAATGTCATTTTCAGAAATTAAGAAAATAATAACTTTTGGTTCATCTAAAAAAAATCAATTTATTGTTCCTGGTTGTGAGGTATCTAAATTTGATTTAAATGGTGTTTGTGATAAAATTATTAATTGGGCGAAAGGTGGTTTAATAGAAGAATTAACTTTTGATATGGAACATTCTGTGGAAAAAGTTTTATGTCAAGATGGTGTTGATCATCTTTCTTTTCCTTCTGCTTCTTCTTCTTCTTCCTCTTGTAACATCATTCGGATTTCTGAAAAAAGGGCTTATGATGGTTATGAAGATTTTGGAACTCCTAAACGAAGAAAGGTATATTTTAATTCTTTATTTTATGTATATATTTATATTTATATTTATATTTTAATTCTATTTATATTGATATTTTATTCAGGAATTAATGCAAATAGTTGAAGAAGAAACTTCACCAAAATCAAAAATCAATAATAATTCAAATAATGAAATTGGATTCAAAAATAATATTGTGGTTGAGAGAAAAAAACCATCGACAAATTTACTTAGAAGAAGAATTATTTCTCTTGAAGAGGTTTATATATCTTTTATCTATCTTTCTTTTTCTTTTTTATATTATCTTCTGGGAAAATGGAATGATAAATGTATATAATTATTTTTTTATAATAAAATTTTAGAATGAAATTAAAGAAACTATTGAAGAATGGAAGAAAAAATATAATGAATTATTAGAAAAATCAAGGAAACGTGAAGAAATTATTATCCAACTTCAACAAGAAAATGAAAAATCAAGAAAACAAGAAGAAATTATTACCCAACTTCGACAAGAAAATGAAAAATATTGTGTATCGATAAATAAACTTAGTTCCGAACTTTCTAGTACTCGAACACAATTATTAGACATTCAAGGAAAACAACAGCAACAACAAAGAGATTATCAACAACAAATTCAACAACGACTTCAACAAGAACAACTTCAGCAACAACTACAACAACAACCATCTAAAGGTCAAAATAATGATAATAATGATAATAATAACAACAATAACAATAATAATAACAATAATAATAACAATGATAATGATAATAGTAATAAAAATAAAAATAATAACAATAATACTAATGATGATAATGAAATTAAAGATAATGAATCATCATCTTCTTTTCTAAAAGTTCAAGAACAATTAGATGAAAAAACACAATTTCTCTCAAAACTCAAACATGATTTAGAAATTAAGGTGGAAGAAAATGAAAAATTGAAAAAAGATTTAGAAACAAGTAAATCTAGCATTAAATCATTAAGAAGTCAACTAAAAGTATCTAGCGATGAGTCATCCGCTCTTCGATTTGAACTTCGAACCAGTGGAGTGTTGGGAAAATCTTCTTCTCGAAAATCCGAAATCGTTGGTGATCAAATTAGATTGTTAACCGGTGAAAATGAATCTTTACGTTTACAATGTCAAATCTTTGAAAAGCAAATTAAATTTATTCAAGAAGAATTAATTAAAAAGGATGGAACTGTTAAATTATTAATGGAACTTAAAGGAAAGAATCAGGAAGATTTAGATAAATATTTGAAAGAAAAAGAAAATTTAAATAAGAATGATGAAATAGAAAAAGAAGGTGATAAAATAGTAGGTGAAGGGGATGAAACAGTGGAAGATGACCAAAATAATTCATTTAAACAAACTACTGTACCAAAATGTCCTTACAATTTTGAAAAATGTAAAAAATCTACTACTGAGAATATGAATGAGATCAAAGTAAGAGAACATGAAAGAGAATAATAATAATAATGATAAAATAAAAGTTACAAGTTTAATTAATTGTATTATAAGTTGATTGGTAATGAATTTAAAGATTTTTCTTTCAAAGATTAAATAAAGTATTTTTTATAGGTCAAACAAAGTTCATATTACTTTGGAATTTTTATAATTATTATTATCATTCAATTGTTAAATTAACAGTCAGTTATAATGTGATATTTTGTTCCTTCAATTATCATATCATGGAAACCGCTAAATAATTTTCTACTTACATTTTGAATTCTAACCCATTAAGAGCATTATCTAAACTTTTAAAAATCACTTTCATCTTTTTATATACCAGATATAGTAGAATTCTTGAGAATTAGAAAAATTGAAATTTCTTTAAATTTGGGTGTGATATAAATATATATGTAATGTTTTTGTATACATTTATGAATTTTTAAAATATTATCATCAGAGTAATAATATTAATAATATTTTTATTGGAAATTCATATATTATCTAAAATATATACAAACAGGCTTATTGGTTTGTTTATATTTGATAATACACATATATCACTTACCATTTCCGAGAAGTTTTTATTATTCCATCTTTACCACATATATGAATTCTATGTTAACAATTTAAAAATACAAAAAATGACAAGTTCTGTACCATTCCTAGAATCCAATATTTACAAGAAAAAAAAAAATAACAATGACATCAATAGATTACTCACAAACACTAGCTTGTACCTTTTCTAGAATCAGCAGAGGCAGTGTCTTGAGGAGTAGATACTATTACTTCACCTATAATTTTTAATTTTTACAATACCATCAAATATAACTTATTGACTTATAGTTAATTGAATTGAGTATGATTGGAATTATTAGGAATTATTAGAAGTCATTAGGAATACTTTAGGAGAAACTTCAACAAGAAATCCAATTGGAATTAAAATTTTATTTATTTATTTATTTATTTAAATCTCAATGATCGAGGTATTGAAGGTCCAAAAAAAAAACTTATATTTATATAAAGTTAAGAATATTTTACATAAACTATATTAAATTAAAAATGCCTGCCTTTTCCATTCCTTTCTTCAAAATTGATTCTTTTTTTTTTTTTTGAATTTCAATTATAATTGTGTAATTGTGTATGTATTGATTATTCTTTTTTGATAGCTTGTAATTTATTTACATGTATATAACTACATAAAATAATTTACATATAAAGCCGAACGTGCCTGCGACTTGCATTTGTGCATATTTTTATATTATTTTTATATTATTTATATATTTTTTTATTATATATTTTAAATGGAAACATTAAAATTAATATATTTTTTCTTGCTCTACTTGAAACAAGGATTTTATATTTTTTGGGAAAAATTAAATCTTTGTGCTCGTTTTTGGAATAAAATAAAATCACGTTGAAAATTCATTATTTGTTCTAAACTTTACAATATTTAAAAAAAAAATTATTCCAACAAACTTCATCTAAAGTAAAATTAGATACAAAATTTCGCATTTCCAATATTGACTTGATTTTGAAAGCCAGTATATAACCTTTTCTTCATCCTTCACTCGACTAAGTATTGAATTTGGCATATTACCATTTTTCATAAACTAACTTTTGTTTTTATCCAAGTATTTTCTTCCTTTGTTTTATCCCATTCTAAAGGATTAAATCTTCTAAGGATTTCATCTGTATCTACAACTTTTAAAATTATCACTGTATTAGAGTTGCTATTACATATGTTTCAAAAACTTTTAGGATCGAATCCATCTTTGCTATCTCTTAATATTAATAGAAATTCATATGAATTGCATGATCATCTGTAATAATGGTGTATTCGAGAAAGGAAATTGGTAAAATTGTTGATTTGATTGGTTTATCGGGATGTTGATCGAATTAAAATTTAAAAATACAATATCTTCACTAGAAATTTGAGTGAAGCAAACAGTTTTGTAAAGTAGTTTTTTAATGCCATGAATCTCATGAATCTTCATTGTTCCATTCTTCAAGTTTGGAAGGCAATGTTGGATTTTGGTTGATACCAAAGCTAGAAGAGAATTAAATCATCAACATATTTGAATATTTTACAGTAATATCATTGCAAAATTTTCCAATATTTTAAATTTATTATCTTGTTTAAAGATTGTATAATAAATTAAAGAAAAAGTGTGTGCTTTGTTTCAATAAGATAGACTCCCAATCTTTTAAATAATTCTTCATTAGTGAGAACTGTTAGTTCAAAAATTAATTTTGTTTGGCATTAACATGATCTAAAATTCCGCCATGAATGATCTACAAAAAATAATACAGTCCCTATAAAAACTACAATATTTAAAATATACTTAAAATATATTTAAAATATATTCAAAATATATTTTATTAAATATTTTTCAAGTATATAAAAAACTATTTAAAATATTATTATTTTTATAATTAAAATATATTTAAAATATACTTAAAAAATACTTAATTTAAATAATAAAAAGTATGTTTTAGGTATATACTTAAAATATACTTAAAATATTATTAAAACATATTTAAAATTAAGTATATTTTAAGTATATACCTAAAACATACTTACTCATTACCTAAATTAAGTATTTTTTTAAGTATATTTTAAATATATTTTAATTATAAAATAATAATATTTTAAAATACTTAAAAATATCTAATAAAATATATTTTGACTATATTTTAAATATATTTTAAGTATATTTTAAATATTATAGTTTTTATAGATTACACAAATTTTGTATAGAACTTTATCAATATTGTAAGTACAAATATTTTTTACTTTATTAATAAGTATGTTTTATTTATATTACTGACTTAATTTTTTTTTAATATTAATACATTTTTATTAAGACTGAAGAATTTTTTTAAATTTAATACTATTGAAAAAATTATATTAAAACAATTTGTATATTCTTATTTATAAGTTATCTTATAATACATTTTATAAATAAATTATGAATTTGAAAAGATTAGTATTCAATATTATAAAAATAATATATTGCTGATAAATATTAATTAATATATATAAAAAGTTTATAACTAAATGCAAAAGATAAGAAAATTGTTGGTATATTAAAAATTGTAAACAATATACAGAAAATATATATTAATATTATAAAAAATAATATTAAATATAAAAGATAATTTCTGGTCTAACTAATCTAGTAGTTAATATACTAGAATTAATTTATAAGATTAACAGATCAATTTTAACTAAAAACAATATAATTAATAATTTTTCTATAATTTAAGAATTGTTTAAATATCAACAAATATTTTAGTTTAAAAGAAGATAACTATTTAATTAAGAGTGATATCAATATACTTTCAAGTGTTATATGTAAATATTCACAAATCAGTTATGTAAATTGGAATGTTGAATTTACATAAGATGGTTAGCACTTAAATTAGTAATCAGAAGTCAAGTTTAATTTTTGAAGTATTTGATATATTAATTAATAAAGGAAGGTAATAAGGGATATAAATAATTTACAGGTGTTATTTAATTTTAATAGTAATTGTAACAGACAACTCAAATACTTCTGGATAAAAAGTAGCACCAACTTCTTAATTCTGCATCCTCTATAATGTATAGTCTATATATGCCATCAAAAATAAAAAGTTTTTGATTCAATTTCAATTTTTTTAATTTTTAATTATGTCTAACTCAATAATTGTGTCAATTCACTATGTAAAAATAAAAATTTCACTTAACTCTAATTTTTTCAATTTTTAATTATATCCAATTCAATTCAATAGTTTGATGACATATATAGTACAGTTATAATCTCTCATGATTTACATTACACAATGATATCTCAGTAATAAAAACTATTGCTAAATGTGACTGTTGTCATAGATCAAATAGGGAGCTGTAACCTGAGATTATAAGGGATAATATCCTGTTGGTCAAGTAAGACTACTCAAATGGGATGAGTAGTGGCAGAGTATCTGTGGATTGCAAAGTATGTTGTAAAAATCTTAATAGTTAAATGAAAGTTGACTCTTAAACAAAAAAAAATGTAAAAGACAATTTTCCAAACTTTGTATTTTTGGTGAACAGAATTTTCAGTTAAGAATTTATTTACATTTCTTGGATTATTGTGGAGGCAAGTTCTGTTTCAATGAGGTTGATAATACAAATATTTTACATGACTTCATGGAAATGATAGATTTTATGAATACATTATAAAGTGAACAGTAAGTATTCAGTAATTGGATCATCATTTATAACAAATACTTGTATTAACAAACAATCATAATTTAGTTAATAGTTAAAGAAGTCAAAGAAAGATTTGAAGAATTAAGAATACAATAGAGACCTTCAAAGCTATTACAGTTTTATAATTCATTGAATAATAATTAGTATTATAAAAACTTTTTCATTTTTGTAATTATAGCAGCGAATGATAAGTGAAAAAGAATTCTACATAATTCCAATCAAAAAGTAAATAATATTAGTGATGAAACTAAAAACATTATTATTGGTAATTATATGATATTGGCAAAAAAGTCTTTATCATTATTAATCCACACATAAACGAACTTGAAGTTTTAAATTTGTAAGAAAGTTGTAGACCTTTTGATATCGGTAATCATATTGTTATTCGATTAATATTATAAAGCATAAAGAAAATAATATATCTTTAGCAGATAACGATAAAAAAATTTTTACATACGGTCACGTGTTGTTACACTTGATTGATCGGGTAGTTTTTTTTTAATTCATATGCACGTTATGGGTATTTATAGCTAATATGGCCAACTCGGACCATGAAATTTTCGACTGTATATAATTAATTTCGATTTTTTAGTATTTAGTTTGGGAACTTTTTAAAAGATTATAAATTTATCTAATTGACAATGTCTAATACACAATCTTCCCTTTTACTTCAAAAACAACTTAAAGGTAATGATTGAAAAAAAAATATGTATATAATAAAAATAAAGAATCGTAAAGTCGTTATTTCTGATTTTTTGTTTTTTTTTTTTTTTTTTGATTTGGGGGGTTTTATAGAATTATCAAAACATCCTGTAGAAGGATTTTCGGCAGGTCTTGTTGATAATGATAACATTTATGAGGTATGAAATATAATGATCTCGTTTAATCTCATTAATTTTTATTACTATTTTATTTTATTTTTTATTTTTAATGATTACAAAGACCAACTTTACACTTTACAAACTTTGAACTAATAATATATATATATATATATATTTCCCTATAATAAAGGTATGTATAAATTTCAAATAAATTTTTTGGATTTTAGTTGTTTTGGTATTTTGGAAATTGTCTGATCTCTATTCCTTCAAAAAGTGGGAAATTATGATCATAGGTCCATCGGAAACTCTATAGTAAGTTTTATTATATTTCTAATTTATTTCATTGAAAAATTATGAATTTAATTAATTATCAAATTCTTGAATTCATAAATTTTTGGTTTATTTTTTATAGTGAGGGTGGTTTCTTTAAAGCTAGGATGACATTTCCAAAGGTAAACTTTATGTATTTACATTTATCTAATTTTTATTTATTTTTTTTCTATAAATTAAAGAATACTTTTCCTTTCTTTATATTCTTTAAATTCTCTTCCTCCTCTTTCTCTTTCATTATATTCATTATTATAGGAATATCCATTGTTGCCTCCAAAATTAAGGTTTGTCTCTGAAATGTGGCATCCAAACGGTAATAAAGTTATTTAAAAATTATGTAAAAATTCGAATTCACATATATTTATATTTATTATATATATAAATATGAAAAAAAAAATGAATTAACCTTTTTTACATTTTAAATAAATGCAGTGTATCCTGATGGAGAAGTGTGCATCTCCATTTTGGTAAGAATTCATTACCTTTTGATCCGTGTAACAAGTTCTTTAATCACATGTCAATATTATAATTATAATTATTATTATAGCATCCACCGGGAGAAGATAAATATGGATATGAAGATGCAGGTGAAAGATGGATGCCTGTTCATACAGTTGAAACTATTTTACTGAGTGTTATTTCAATGTTATCATCTCCAAATGACGAATCACCAGCAAACATTGAGGCAGCGGTAAGAATACAATTAGCAATATTTATTCTTTAAAATATCAAACAATGGAAATAATATTAACAATTTATTATCAAATTTTAATATTTTTAAAAAATCACAGAAAGAATGGAGAGATAAATATCCCCAATTTAAGAAACGAGTACAAGGTATAGTTCGACGATCAGCTGATGCACTATAGATTGAGTATGTCCCCAGATATATATATATCAATAAATAATTTTTATATTATGGATGATTAAAGAAAAGAAAGGAAATAAAAATTCTATAATTGACATTAATTGACATTTTTGATATTATTATTATTATTTGCAATAACGAATTATGTGTTTTGGGGATTTAAATTTGGTTTGTTAATTCTTTTTGTCAATATAGTAATCTCAATTTATGTAATAATAACAATATAATAATAATAATTACTATTACTAATAATAATAATAATAATAATAATAATAATAAGTAATTTGATTGGCGACAAAGATTAATAATATATAATAATATATATTGATTTATTATTATTCAATTCTTCTCTATTTTATTAATGATGGTTTAATAAAGTTAACTCAAATTAGACGGATAAATAAATTCTTCAAGGTTAATGAAATTTTCTTTAATAGTGCGCATTGAAACAAAACGATATAACTGAAAATATTTAAATAATTTATAAAAAAAAAAATTTAGTTAATAACGTAAGTAAATCTAAATGTTTAATAAATGGTTTATATTTACCGCAGTATGACTTCCCGCCTTATCGTTAGTTCCAGAACCGCGTGAACCACCAAATGGTTGTTGACCCACAACGGCACCAGTAGATTTATCATTAATATAGAAATTACCCGCAGCATTTCTTAATTTATGTTCTCCAAGCACAATCGCAGCGCGATCCGAAGCAAATCTATAATTAAAAATAATTTAAAATAATAATTATAATTAATTAATATGTTTATAATCATAGTGAATTAATAAAATTATAATAATAATAATAATAATAATAATAATAATAATAATAATAATAATAATAATAATAATAATAATAATAATAATAATAAATACTTACAAAGCTCCAGTCAAAGCATAATCACATGTCTCACTTATTAAATCTAATGTTTTTTCAAAATCTTCATCTTTATATCTGTAATAATAATAATTAAGGATTAAGGATTAAGGATTAAAAATTAATTAAGAATTAAGAATTAATAATAATAATAATAGAATTATATTTAAATACTCACTTGTAAATGGTTAGAACAGGTCTAGAATATAATTAATATGGTATTGAGAAATAATAAATAACAAATCAATTATAAATAATAAATAAATAATATATAAAAAAAAAAAAAAATAAATAAATAATAAAATAAAAAATCACCCAAATATTTCTTCAACCATAAATTTAGATTTTGGATTCTTTGTAAAAATAATTGTGGGTGGAATAAAATATCCTTCAGAATCATCACATTTTCCACCTGCAATAATTTCACATTCTGAATCATTTGATGCGTGATCAATGTAATCCTTAATCTTGGCAAATGATGCTGCGTGTCTATAATAGATATAATATCATAAATGTTATAAAATATTATATTATATTATATTATATTATATTATAAAATGACAAATGACAAATAGAAATAAATAATATGTAAATAAATATATAATAAATAAATATATAATAAATAAATATATATATTTACATGACTGGTCCCATAAAGTTTTTAAAATCTGGTAAATGTAAAAAAAAGAAAAATTTTAAATTATAAAATATATATATACATATATATATATATATAAATTATATAAACAATAATATTAAATGAAAAAATACCTTCCACGGAACCAACTTTAATTCTAGAATGTTCATCACGTAGCTTTGAACAAAAGCCTTCCCATAAAGATTCCGGAATATAAGCACGAGAACATGCTGAACATTTTTGACCTTGATATTCAAAAGCTCCTCTAATGGTTTGTTGAACTGCATTATTTAAATCCGCTGATTTATGAATGATATGAAAATTCTTTCCTCCCGTTTCTCCCACAATTCTTGGATAAGATTTATAAATATCTATATTATTTCCAATTTTTTTAAATAATTTTTTAAAAACAAAAGTGGATCCTGTAAAATGTAATGCAGCAAAATCTGGTGATTTCAATATTTGATTAGTAATTTCTTCGGCTGGTCCAGGAACGAATTGAATTACTCCATCAGGTAATCCGGCTTCTCTCAAAATTTGTAAAATAATCCAATTTGAAAGAACCGCGAATGGGGATGGTTTCCAAAGTACCACATTTCCCATTAATGCCGGTGCACTTGGAAGGTTACCACCAATTGCTGTAAAGTTAAATGGGGAAATTGCGTAAACAATTCCCTCCAATGGGCGATACTCTATTCGATTCCATACTCCCGCAGAATTTTTTATGGGTTGTTCTTGATAAATTTCACATGCGAATTTGGCATTAAATCTCCAAAAATCTATTAATTCTGCTGCTGCATCAATTTCTGCTTGCCTAAATAAAAACAAAAAAAAAACAAAAAAAAAAAAAACAAAAAAAAATAAAAAAATAAAATAATGAAAATAATAAATAAATAAATAAATGAATAAAATAATGAAATAATAAATAAATAAATAAATAAATAAAATAATGAAAATAAGATTATTCTTTTACCAAATATTCTTTCCTTGACCAAGCATAGTAGCAGCCATAAGTTTATATCGATATTTTCCTGAAACTAAATCTGCTGCTTTTAAAAAGATAGAACATCTATCTTTAATTGAATAATTTTCCCAAATAGATTTAGTTTCCAATGCTCCCTTGATAGCATCTTCTATATGAGACGGTTCGGCTTCATGATATTTTGCAACAATAGTCTGATGATCAGATGGATTTCTTTGATCTGATGTTTTATTATTGCGAACCTATTAAATATAATATATATGAATATATGAATATATGAGTATATGTGAGTATCTATGAGTATCTATGGGTATGAGTAGTGTTGTTAACGGTCCGGCCTGGTCCGACTTGAAGTCAAAGTCAAGCGGGACCGTATTGACTTGGGGTCGTGGTATCGATTCATCAACCTTCCATCAAACCGAAGACTTGAAACTTCCAAATCGAATCGGCTTGGCTTAGCGCGGACTTAACTAACACTAGGCATGAGTATATGTTATATGTATATGATTATATATATATATGTGATTATTTACCTCTTTTCCATTTATAAGAAGGGGAATTTCAATTGGAAATTGAGATTTAAGTTCATTCAAAGCAGTTTGAAGTTTAGCACGTTCCTCACTATTTGGAGGATAATTTCTCTAAAAAAAAAAAGCCAAAATTATAAAAAGATAATGAAAATTAGATAAAAAAAAAAATTAATTAAGATCAATACCATTAATTCATTGTTAATTTCAGGTATTTTAAAGGTACCAAAAGTGGGCGCGATAGGAAGGGACATTTTTAAAAAAATAAAAATAATAATCAAGGGAAATTCTTTGAATGCATATTTATACTGATCTAAAAAAAATCTGATATTGTCGATCTATATTGTTGATCCAATATTGTTAATATTGTTGATCCATATTCTAATATATTCTAATAAACAATCAAACTTTTACGGTTTCTTTTTTTACCCCCATATCCCCCATATTTAAATTTTTTCCATATTAAGAATATATTTTGTCAAAAGATTCTAACTTTATTAATCGTGAGAATTATTTTAAATAGACAAATAAAATTCGTGAGAAAATAAAATAAAAAAAAAAAATTAGAATTTTTGGGAATTCTTAGAATTAAAAAGAATGTCTTCCGATAATATAAATAATAATGATAACAATAATAATAATATCAATATTTGGACATCTGCCGGTAAATAATAAAATAATAATAATAAAAATAATAAAATAATAAAATTTATTATTACTATTGTAAAAAAAAAAAAGAAAACGAAAAAAGAAAATTAATAATTAACCTAATTTTGATGAATATCAAAATATGATATGAATATCAATATCCATAGGTGATGGAGATATAGATCGTGTAAAGGTAATATTAGGTATAAAAAAAAAAAAAAAAGGTTAAAAAAGGTTCACTATAAATATTCTTATTTTTAAATAAATTTTTTTTAAAGGAAGTTCTAAATACTGGAATATCACCCGATATTCAAGATCAAAATGGGTATACACCATTAGCAGCAGCAGTTTCTTATAATCATATCGAATTAGTTGAATTCTTATTAGCACATGGAGCAAATGTTAATCTTTGTGATAATGAAGGTGATTCCCCATTATTTTTGGCAGAAACTGTAGAAATGGTACAAACATTACTTGATCATGGAGCAGATCCATCTATAACGAACATTGAAGGAAAAACTGTAAATTATTTTTTTTTTTATTTTAAATTTGTTTATTGATATAAATCATTTACATATATATTTTTATTGATATTATAAAAATTATTTACATATATATTTTTATTGATATAAAATCATTCATACATTCATACATTTATATATATATTCATATATATATTCACGTATATATATATATATATATATATATAGCCAGCTCAAGTTATTTTTGAAGAAGGATGGTTAGATGTAGCAGAATTCTTACGTTCAATAACTGGTGAATCAATTCCTGAAATAGACAATGATGTAAATGATTCAATTTTTTCTGTTAATTTATTGAATGGAAGAGATCTTGATGATAATATTGATAGAAATGGTCATTAAATAAATAAATAAATAAATAAATAAATAGGAAAAATGTATAAATAAATATATAAGAATATAAAAATAAAATAAATCAAAAAATATACATACATTATTTATTTATCTTATGGAATAGAAAATTGAAAATCTTCAAAGGCAGTTTTGAATTCGAAATCATCATCATGATCAAAATCTTTAAAGATCAAATGATCAAATCCAAATAATTCTTTTATCAAAATTAGTAATAACAAATATAATTAATATCAATAAACATTAACATTTTGACGATAATAATAATAATAATAACATTATTTATTGATATTATTTTTATTATTTATAATTACCATATTCATTCATAACCTCTCTACTTTGATATTCACGTGGATCAATCTCAGGAAATGATGGTTCTTTAAATTTAATATTATCAAATTCATAAGATTCGGCATTAGGAAGTTGTTGTTGTTTTAAAAATTCGAAATCAATTTTAAGTTCCTCATCAAATGGTTCGTAAGGTATTTCTTCTTCTTTGATTGGTGGAGGACAATATTCAATGTCAGGTATTTCGACTCCTTCTTCTTCTTCTTCTTCTTCTTGTTGTTGTTGTTGTTGTTGTTGTTGTTGTTGTTGTTGTTGTCGTTCTTCTAATTTTTTTAATTCTTTTAATTCTTCGGATTCTTCAAATTTAGGTTTATTGATTATTTCTTTCTCTATTTTATATCCAAGTCCATATTTATGTTCACGTTCATATTCATACCCATATCCATATCCATATCTATATCCATATTTAAGTCCACGTTCATGTCCTTTTTCTTCTTGTCTATCATCAAAATCTTTGAGACGCGTCATTTCAGCAATCAAATTTCTTTTCTTCAATACATTATTTTCTTTTAATTTGAATTTCTGTTTTTGTTGTTTAAAACTACTACTACTTTTACTACTTTTAATTGTATTAACTGGATTATTATTATCATTATTATTATTATTATTATAAATATTATTACTATTATTATTATAATCTTCTTTTTCTTCTTCAGTATGAAATTTGACAGTTCTAATATTTTTAATTTGAGAAGTTTTATTGGTAATATCTTTTAGTGCCCAACTATTATTAGTTGTTTTAATAAAATTATTATTTGTTGGAGTATTATTATTATTGTTATTGCTGTTGTTGCTGCTGCTGTTGTTGCTGTTGCTGTTGTTGCAATTATCATAATTATCATTATAAATATAACTAATATTATTGTTGAACTTTATCGTATTGCCAGTTTTCAATTCTTTCAATTCTTTTGAATCAGTTTGCTTTAAATTATTATTATATTTACTACTATTATTATTATTATTATTTTTATTATTATTATTATTGGCAATAGCAGTAGCAGCAATATTATTATTACTATTATTATTATTAGAAAAGTTCGAATTTATGGTAGAAAGTGAAAATGGAGTTTTATTAAAGAAGTTGGATTTATTATTATTGATTTTAGGTCCAGGTGTTCTATAAGAGACAGCATTTTCTTTGCCTTCACTAACAATTCCTCCTCCCAAAGATAGTTGTCTCGAAGAACGACGCATGATGATGAATTTAACTTTATGACATTAAAAAAAAAAAAAAAAAAAAACTAAAGAAGTTAATGATCAGAAAACAGGAGTAAACAAAAATTTAATAAAAATTTGTATACAACGGGAAAAATTGTTACGTCATTCGCATCAAATCCAAATGGTGTGACCCAATACCTTTTTTAAATTTTTTTTTTTTTACACATTTTTCATTTCATTTTTTTTCTTCAAAATACAAAATAAATAATATAATATAAAAATGAGATACGTAACGCCTGGTACAAGATTATGTTTTGCTTCTGAATATGAGGCTGGACCTGGCACTTATGAACGTGATGAATACATTTATTCTAGTGTAGTTGGTATAGTTCAAGAATTCCTTCCCACAGTATCCTCAAATACAGTAGAAGAGGTAAATCAGATCTGATAATAAATTTAAATAATTCTTTAAATAATTTATTAATATCGTTCATTCTTGATAGAAAAAGCAATCAAAAATTATAACTGTATCAAGGGAAAAGCATCAATCTTCAATTCCTGATGTTGACAGTATTGTAAGTTTTTATCATTATCCACTATTCACTATTTACTTTTATTACTTTGGAAATTTAATTTAATTTTTTTCTAATTATAAAAAGATTACTGGTAAAGTAATTCGTATGACGACTAGAGAAGCTGTAGTTTCTATAATGGTTGTGGGTAATATACCGTGTAAAGATGATTATCAAGGAATTATTCGGTAATTACATAAAATATTCTATAGAATTATATATAAAGAATATATTTCGGTATATATGTATGTAATCGCGTAAAATCAATCTTTCTTACTTTTTTTTATTTTCATATATAAAAAATAATAAATTTTTAGCTCTCAAGATGTTCGCGCAACAGAAAAGGATAAAGTCAAAATTATTGAATCTTATAGACTTGGTGACATAGTTAAAGCTGAAGTTGTATCCTAAAATAAAAAGAATAAAAACTTTATCAGTTGAATAGTATTTTGGTAGATAGATAGATAGATTGATTGATTGATCGATCGATAGATAGAGATATATTTTTATATTTTCACATTTTTTTTTTTTTTTATATTTTTCTTTAATGCAAAAGAAAAGATATCTTTGGGAGATGCAAGATCTTATTATTTGTCAACAGCTAAAAATGAATATGGTGTAATTTATGCACAAAGTGTTGCAGGTAAATATTATTATTATTATGATTTTTATTATTCATCATTTATAATTCTAATAAATAATTCTAATAAATAATTCTAATAAATAATTTTAATAAATAATTCTAATAAATAATTCTAATAAATATTTCTAATATTTTAAATATTTTATAGGAGCTATGATGGTTCCAATATCATGGCAAAAGATGCAATGTACCAAGACAAAAGCAGTTGAACTAAGAAAATGTGCCAAACCTAAAGATCTTTTCTCCAAAAATCAATAATTTATAGTACATTCATATTATTATTAATTTATTATCAAATAAATTTTGATAACGAAATGATAATTAAAGGTAATATAAAAAATAATATTCACCTAATTACATATTTCAAAATCCATAAATAGAAAGATATATTTTATATACTTATAAATTTTAAAATAATAATAATTAAAATATATGTAAAAAGCGTTTATTTTTAATCTAATAGACTAAATAAGTTAGGTAGAAATACTGATGTTAAATAATAATAATAATAATAATAATAATAAAATTCTATCTGTCTAATGTACGATTTTTTTTTTTTAATTGAATTTTGATATTATTGTTATTAAAGTATTAAATCTGATTTTTATCAGATAAAAAAAATTCATCACATTTATAAGCATTATATGAAGTTCGGTCTAGAGAATTAAGTGCTACACTTATATCTAAATTGATATCTTCGATCAATGCATCTTTTTTGATAAAATTGATAAAATTGATTAAATTGATTAAATTGATTAAATTGATAAATCAATAAAATGATAATTAATTGTAAAAATTATATTATTATTACCTAGTGAACTATAATCTTTTTCTGGACGAACGTAACCTAATACAATTACACGTAATTCTGCACCATAAAAATCTTCGGGAAATTTATGAATAATATGAACTTCCTAATTATATTAATTATTATATTAATTATTATATTAATTATATTTGCTAATTATATATAGGTATTAATTAATATATAAAAGATAAAAGGGATATACAAACCGCGCTCCTTTTCTCGTTTTTATAATATGGATTCCATCCTAAACTCATCACCATAGGATAGACCTTGTGTTCGCTATCTTTATTATCTATATTATTATTATTATTATTATTATTAATTTGTGCCCAACCAAAATAAATTCCTGTATCAACATCAACACAAAGTGTTTTTATTGCATCCTCGGAAAGATTAGCTGTTGGAATTCCTAACTCTTTACTTCCTCTTCCAAACCCTTGAACTACCTCGCCTTTTAATTTTATGGGATAAGGTGAAATAGGTTCTTCAGGACCAACTATAAGAGGGCGAGTAGTTGTCATTATTACTATTACTATTATTATTATTATTATTATTATTATTATTATTATTATTATTACTCAAAACTCTAAATTCGATCTAAACTTTATCTGAACTCTATTCTAAAACTTTATCTAAACTCTAATCTAAACTCTATTTAAACTCTATCGGGTTAGTTCAGTTTAAAACATCATGACACGTGATAATCGCAAAATCTTCGATCATATAATTTTCGTTTCTGCTAGAAAAAATTTTTTTTACTAATGTCTGTAAACCCGTATTTAAACCTTGTAATTCATATTTCAAGTACGTCTGCCTCAAAAATGTAATTGTTAAACCTTACTGAGGCTCTCTATATATATTACCTTTTTAAGTGACGTTCTTATCAAAGGAAAGCATGATATTAGAAAAGAGCGAACAACTTCTCTGACTCCAGTGGGTTGTCAATTTTCTACATATTTACTTCCGCTCTTTGATACGTCGAGATGCGACCGCTATGTTTCACGATTTTTCTTTTACACATGTCAGAGAATTATCGTTCCAGAAAGCGTGTCAGGATAGAGAGAAAAGAGGTTACCTTGAAATTTTTTAATGGTTTCGGTTTTTTAACGTGCTCACACAACTTTCTGGAATTTTTTTTTGATATATGATTTATATGATTTTAAATGATACTCGCATGATCAAACCTATTGTTAAATAAAAATAAAGCTCTACTTAAATTTTGAATACATGTAACAAAAAAAAATATCTTTTAAAGTTTTTTGACTACTTTTTGAATTCATATATCTGGACCATTGATATGTATAACAGAAAAGGAAACGGATAAAATTTAGCATCCAGTAAAAAGTGTACTCAGTTTGCAGACAGAAAAGCATCTTTCTAAACGAAGACAGGTTAACCCGATTGTCTTGAGATGGACTTTTTAATCTATTTTTTTTTTTTTTTTTTTTGGCATTAACATTTCCCTTTTGTGAGAAACAATCAATATATTATTAATAAGTTATAAATACGATATTAATATATTATTGATTTTTTATAATTATCATAATTAATTATTATAATAATTCAAATTACATAGATCTTTATTAGTAGGTGTGAATTCTAAATATCTCGTGAATTTGCATGATATATATAAAAAAACAACATACATTAATTCTAAAAAAAATCAATATAACAATGAAAAAAATGAAAAAAACTAATGTGTTTATACAATACATTGTAATAATGCATATATATCAGAATACATACATACATATATATTTTATAATTATACCTTTCGTCGTTTGGCTAGTAATGACTCTGTGTCATCGCTACTATGATTTCCTCTTTTTTCATTATTATCTTCTCCTTCCTCTACTTCAATAATTTCAACAACTTCTTTTAATCTTCGTTTTGAAGTTGAAGATGATGAAGTAGAAGTGATTGAAGATACATCTGTTGCTGCAGTTACCATTACTTCCCTTGTAGATGGACCTTCTGATGGACCTTCCAATGCATCGATATCACTCCCACTTTCTCTCTCGTCTTCCTCCTCCTCGTCCTCTTCCGAATCAGCACTATTTTCATTATCATCATCTTCTGTAGGATGATAATCTTCTTCAGTATCGTTATCATCATCCGGAATATTCTAGATTAATTAGATTAATTATATTAATTACATGTTCATATGTATATATATATATTATGTATTTGATGATATATTATATTTGTTGTATATATTTAATTATAATATTATTGAATGTAAAAAATAATAAACTTACGCTGTCTAAAAAGTTTTGTGTTGAAAATTCTTCTTCAGATTCTTCATCTTCCTCTTGACTTTCATTCTCTTCCACATCTATTGGTACTGCAACAGATTTTCCTTTATCGCGTGATGAAATTACTTTACTTCTCTCAACTGAATCTCCATCAGCTTCCTATTATGTCATCATAATGTTTAATCATTTGTGTTATTGAATATGTTTAAAATCATGTTTTTTTTGATATGCAAAATTGAAATTGATAATAAAAAAAAATTTGATAATAAAATTGATAATAAAATAAAAATTGATACAATATAAAATTAATTAATGGCTCACTAATTGTTCTTCCTCTTCTTCGCTATCTGATATTTCCAAAACCTTTGATAATTAATTAATTATATTAAGATTATGATGTCACCACTAAATATATTATTATCAAATTTTCAAATGAATAAATTTAACAAAATTACATTATTTGTCTCCTCGGGATCTGCATCTGATTCTTCGACAACTTCTTCATTAGAATCAGATACTGTTACTGCATCTTCATCATCATCTTCATCCGAGTCTTCTTAATTAATTAATTATTTAAATTAATTTTAATTTTAAATAAATTTAATAAAATACAAATATATATATATATATATATATATATAAACCAACCTGCATGTCCATTTTTTTCATCTTCGTCCTCCTCTTCATCTTCCTCCTCTTCCGCATCACTCTCTTCTTCAAAATCAACGTCAGCACCAGAACTATTGCCAACAAGAATAATCAAATAATTGCATGAAATTAAAGTATTAAATATGAAATTAAAATAAATTAATATATTTGGAGAAAAACCTACCGATCTTGATCATCAAGTGAATCCAATTGAGGTATAATTTTAAATACATCTTCTCGATAATTTGGAATCTTTGTGATTGGACATTCCATTAAACTCAGATGTTTAAGGCTCGGTAAATCACGCTTTAATTAAATCATAAATATAAATAAAAATTATATAAATTAAATATATATATATATATATAAGCATATACACATGTTAAAATATTTTTAGAAAACGTATTAGAAAAATCAGTTCACAAAACAAAAACAAAAAAATGTATAAAAAATAATAATACCAGTGGCTCGAGTACTACGACCTCACTTATTTTGTTATTACTTAGATCAAGATGGTTTAAATTTTCTAATTTAGCATTTGCCAGCGCCTCCAGTCCACCCGATATTATATTATCGGATAAAACGAGCTATAAAAAGCACAATAATAACATACAATATTATATATATGATTTATTATAAAAATTTTAAATATCATAAAATATTATCATATATATATATTAAAAATTACAAAATCCGAGAAAATAATACCCTTCTTAGTTTAGGCAACGTTGGAAACCCTTCTAGTAAATTTAAGTGAGTACAATTCAATGAAAGAGTCCTCAAACTGATCAGTTCGTTTAGAGGAGTAAAATCTTTTTGATCGTTGGAGTCACTTGTGATGTTTGCAATAGATATAACTTTTTTTCCATCGAGATAAAGTTCTACTGGTTCTAAAGGATCTTCAAACCTAAGTTTATTCTTAACTTCTGGCTCAATCATATTTATTAATTATTAATTATTATTACTATTATTAGTATTATTATTATTTGATATTATTATTTATTCTCGTTATTTTTTATATGAGAACGTGTGTACGGTGATCGTAATGTAAGAAAAAAAAGTGAGACGACCAAAAAAAATATGAACGACAAAAATAGGGGGAGGTTCAAACGCGTTTTTTTTTTGTTCAATAACGATAATAATTACAGAATTAGGTTTGTAAAGGTGGGGACTAGGATAGTCCGATAAAATTATTAGTACATACACGTGACTTACGTGACTTGTAAAGTCGAACTTTTATGTTGAAAAAGAAAATGAAATTTTGTTTTAAATATGAAAGTAATAATGTTCTTTGACAACTAACAAGATCAAAATTTAATAATAAAACGCCATTTTGATTTATTAGTAAAAAAAAAAAAAAAAACTTTGATTTTTTGATTTTATTGTAAGAATTTGTAAAAAATTGGGAGAAAGAATTGAAAGAATTGATATAAATGAATCTAATAATTACAAAATATAGAATTCATTTACAAAGTTATTATTAATGAAATCTATTAGTTCAAAGAAATCCAAAGAATAAAAAATAATTTGAAAATGAAAACTTTTACTGACATGGATGATCTGATTGGAATAATAATTTTATCAAGTTAATTTTTTTTTTTAATATAAGTAATATAAATAATATAAATATTATGAACAATATTTAAAAACTTTTTTTAAAAAAAAAAAAAAAATGCAACAACCTGTTCAACAAGAACGTTCACCAACAGAATTTCTTAATATTGTTATTGGAAGACCTGTTCTTGTAAAATTGAATTCGGGTGTAGATTATAGAGGTATTATTATTATTTATTAATAAATATCAATAACAATAACAACGATAACAATAATAATAAGCAATTTTTAAATAATTTAACCATAATTTGAATAGGAATTCTTTCATGTTTAGATGGATACATGAATATTGCTCTTGAACAAACGGAAGAATGGGTTAATGGTCAACTTAAGAATAAATATGGTGATGCCTTCATTCGTGGTAATAATGGTATGCTAAACTTTAAATAAGCTCTATAATTAATGCTTTATTAATATACTGACGTAATCAATTTATTTATTTAATTATTTTTAATTAAATTTTTAATTCATTCAATTAAATTAATTAATTCAATTAATTAATTAATTTATTTTATTTTCTAATAAATTAATTTCAACTAAATAATTAGTATTATATATCAGTGCTGATAAATCTAGATAAACTTATTTGGAATTATTGAATAATCATAATCATCATATATTATAAAATAATTATTAATTAATTTTCTGAATATTTTTTATTATACAAATTAAAACACAAATTAAATAAAAGTCAATAGAAAGTTAACAAAAAGTTAACGTATAACAAATTTAAATAAGGGAACTGTTTCGCTAAAAATATAAATATTCAATCTATTTACTTAACTAATCAAACTATTAATTAATTAATTAATTAATCAAAACTATTTTAATTTTTTTTTTTTTTTTGTTTTTTTTTTTTTTTTTTGTTTTTTCTAACTTTCTTCTTCATTTTTCCCTTTCCAATTTTCCATTTTAATTGCTTCAACTGGAGATCTAATATTTTTTTTTTTAAACACAACAACAAGAATAATAATTAATTCTAAATAATTATTAATAAATTCATTATAAAATGAAATACTTACCCAATAAACTTCAATTCTTTAATAATGGTCGTCTCTTCATCTCCAATATTATCTTGGACAAAAATCTATTAATAATATATAATTTAAATAACTTTAAATAACTTTAAAATAATTACAAAGAAAGAAGGAAGAAAGAAAAAAAACGTACAACGAGGGTTGTCACATTTTGAAATTTGACAAATCTCAATGGAATAATTTTTTCTTCCTCATAATCTTCTATAGTTAATTCAAGTAACTGAGTTTCTTCAATAGAATCGGTTTCATCAAAACCGAGATTAAGTCTATTGACATAAAGTTTAACTGTCTTGGGTGCGTGATCTAATAATGATGAATAATTATAATGTGGTAAATATTAATTAAATATTTAGTTTAAATATCAATTAAATATCAATTTAAATATTTAGTTAAATGTTAATTATATTTAAATATTAATTAAATATTAATTAATTAAATGTTAACCAACCAATATCTTTAGAAACAATTTTTAAAGAGTGAAGTTTAACAGTTTGATTAAATGGAATAGTAATTAAGAGTTGTTCATCAACATCTGATTCTAAATAATTGTCATCATTTTTGAAAATGTTTCGAACGTTATGATCATCTAATTGATTAAGGCAATCGACTTGATTAAGTGTAATAAATTCATTTATATCCATCTAAAACAAAATAAATAATATTTTAACTATTAAATATACATATATAATATTTAATATACATATATAATATTTTACTATATATATATATATATATATATATGTAATATTTAGGTTATATCTTACATGTCCTTTTACAACTATTAATCCACTTTCTTCCGGTGTTCCTGCATGTAATTCAACAAGTCTTCGAAGTTCATCTTGCCTTGCCCCAATAACTTCCCCAATTTGTTGTCCATTTTTGAAAAGTTTAAAGGTTGGTCTAAAAATCATCAATTATATATAGATATAGATATATATAGATATATAGATAGAATAGAAAGATATGATATTATATAAAAAAAAATATCATATAAAAATATTATGAATAATTCTAATGTATTAAATTAAAAGTTATACATTTAAATAATACATGAAAATTATTTTTACAATGATGTAACTTGTGCTGTACTAGCAACACTTCTGGCTTGATCTGTATCAACCTATATTTACATATATTTATATATATGCATATATGTTAATTAAAAAAAAGAGATTCATTAAAAATTAACAAAAAAGCATATTCTATATTCTTATCAAAATATTCTCAATTTCTATATCCTTGAGATAACTTCATAATACTACTTACTTTTGCAAAATTCGCATGACGATGTGTTGAACTTAATGTTTCAAAAATAGGTGCCATAATACGACACGGGCCACACCACGTTGCATGGAAATCTACGACTGTCTAAAAAAATTTTTTTAATTCCATTCAATAACTATAATAATATTATTATTCTTCTATGGGAAAATAATATTCTATAATAATTAATATCCTTTCTATAATTTATTTTAAATTTACCAATTTGGGTGAAGCAATAAGTTGCTGGTATTCATTTAAGTTAGTTATGATTTTAATATTTGACATTATTATTGACTTGGAAATTTGATATTTCTCAGTAGGAAGTTTAAAAATTAATATGACTCGGCGAACACATGATTGTATTTGTTAACTAGCCAATAAAATAAAAAAGAAGAATTATATAAGAATTTGATTTACCTTGATCGATGATTGGTAGTCAGTCCGAGAATCAAGATCTGCATCTAGATTATCTTGTGCGACAAATTTGACTGTTGCATCGTAATAACAGATAATATCAATATATATAACCGTTGGCATTTTGAAGACATTAACATACAATCCGTGCAGATTCACATTTAGATCATTTTCTCAAACAATATAACAAACCTAAAAGTTCTTCCGCCAGTTCCAACAGTTGAAAAATGGAAGTCAAAGGACATCCTCAATTATTTACAAGATGTGAAAGATGAACTTGAACTTGTTGATGAAGACTTTCATGTTTTATATAATTTTTTAAAAATTATCTAATATAAATTAATTCTTGTAAATAATCATGAATAGTAATTAAAACTCAATTAGGTGAAGATGGAAATGTAAATGAATTCTTCTAGAAACAAGAATTATATATAGACACTTTTTGATATCAAGTAATATTAATTTTGAATATTTAGTTTTTTAAATTATTGATCTTTATTTATAATATTACTCTCACAATGTAAATGTACTAATTAAAAGTTTGAAATAAAAATTTAAAATAAATAATTTAATAAAAAATTAAAATATTATAAATATTATCACTAGTCAAAAATTTATAAATACTACATTTATTGAATACTAGATAAGTATAATATTTATAAATTTTTGACCAGTATATATTATATTTTAAACTTATAGCAAAATTTTTTTTTGAACTTTTGTATAAAACTATAAAATAATTATTAATTGACTCATCTAATTTTTTTAAATTTATTTTAAATAATTATTAGTAAATAAATATAAAATTAAAAACTTAATCAATATAAATAATTTTAATTTTAATAAAAATTAAAAATTTAATTAATATATATTTACATTTCACATTCTATTTAAAAGTTGATAAAGTAAATTTAAATTAATATTTTCTTGAATATTAATAAATTGATAATATTTTTTATTGAATTTTTATTTATTACACAAGTCAAATACAAAAAAATTATTACATTAAAAAAGAATTCTGATTTAACTAATTTATAATATAGAATATAATAGGATAGTTAATTTTTACTAATTTTAATTAATCTATAATATAGGAATTATTATTTGATACAATGATTCTTTTATATATAACTAGTATTACAATTAATAAAATATATAAGAAGTGTAATTTCGTCATGTCATCTAAAACATTAATACAGTTTTTTTATTATAATGTATCTTATCTATACATATTTTCAAAATTGATTTTTAATTTTTGGAATATTTCATCTTTTTAAAATTTACTCAGAATCTATTCTATATATGAAAGTAAAAAAAATATCTAGTTAAATATATCTTTAATCAAGAAATTTATTTGTGTAGTTAAAAAATTTCAGATTTTAAGTAAAATAATTTCATCTTCTATAAAATTATTTTAATTTTTTTTTTTAAAAATTACAATTTTAGAATTTCAAAATAATTTTGTATGCAAATATAATCTTATCATTTTTGTATTTATATTATACTTGTACGCAAAATTATTTTGAAGAAAAAAGTCAAAATAGTTTTTCATAGAAGAAAAAATTATTTTATTTAAAACTTAAAATTTTTTAACCACCCAGATTTATTCTTTGATTAAATATATACATAACTGAATACTTTTTTACTTCCATATTATACGTGTTGCCCAAATTCCAAATCATTTGGAATTTGGGATGCCAAAATCCCAAATTACTAGTATTTGGGATTTGG